AGTAGTGTAGACAAAAAATCATTTTACTACTTTTAAATATTTATTTACAGTTTATTGCACATACAAAAATGAGAAAGATTTTAATGGTGCAATTAAGCGATAAGGCAAGAGCAAGATTATGAAAATTATAATAAGTACAAAACAAATTATTAATAATAATTAATCTGAACTCATTATTAATAAAGACAACCAAGAACATACAGTTAACATACCAGTAGAAAAAAAGAGCCAAATATTACTAGAGTCTAGAGTCTAGACTCTAGACTAATATGTTATGACGGATAAGAAATTTAAAAGACTGCTATGGCTGGACTGCTTTCTAAACCTTACATTATGTTATAACCACTCTTATGACACTTAATAACTATATCCCTTTTATTATTATTAAACGTATTAACTAAATTCCGTTAGTTTTAACGTGCGGTGGAAAACAGAGTAATTTAAAGGAACCTTGACTTAGGGAAGATTCGGAATCAAGACTTAGCACTCCCTTATGTCAGAAACGTTTTTGACTTAGGTACTGGAGTTCTACTTAGTGCTAAGCTCGTAAGAGTATTTTTATCTCGACTATAATCCTAAATCCACGACTATCCAAAATTCAACGACGTGTTCTAATCTAAGAACGAATGTATTTATTAGTAAAAACTTTATTGAATTAAACTTAACTAAAACTAATAACTAATTAAAATTAACTCAACAGCTAAAAGTTGTGTCCCTAATAAATAAATGTAAAAAACATCGACCTATAAACGTATGTTTTTAAGCTCTTTTTATTCGCATCTCTCTCAGACAGATATTTTATCAATAATTCATAACATGTTGTTTTCTCGAAAAACTACAACTATTATTGATCATTACCGTTTTTATTCGTTTCTGTTTTTTTGAATATTTTTCAATGGTACATTAAATAAAATATTGCCTTATAGGAAGAAATATTTACTAACACGCATATACCAGATTAAGAAATAAAGACAACACTTAATATTTGAGACAATATGACTATTATTATGTTTGGAAACTGTTCTCTCAGCTCAGAATCGTGTGAGCGCAGATTTTTTATCTTTTATGAATTTGCGCGTTTTTTTTCGCTGTTTTTAATATTATTGCTTATTGGAGAACGATATAAATGAATTTCCGGAGGTGAAACTTTGGTAGATTTAGTGCAACTGTTTTGATATAATTCCGGGACTATTATTTATACATTTTTTGATTATAAATATGGATAGAATTATTCTTTAATTTAAATTACAAAAGTAAAATACGGATGGAATAGTGTACATTTCGTCCCATACTCCACGCCCTCGGAAACGTGTCTCCATTACACTTTACCCCACGTAAAAAACACTTTTGAGGGAAAACGCACCCCAACTTTTATTTTCCACCCCGTCTGTTCTGAATATTGTAGTTCAGCTCAAAATTTTAGATTTTTTAAAACCAATTAAGTCTGCCAATGTGTGTATAGACTCCGTAGCTAAAATCTAGTGTTTATATGTAGGACCTATAGTATACTATAATTATATAAATAACATTTGAAGAAAAGTAATTTGGTAAAATTAAACTGTCAAAATTACTTAATTTTTCAGATTATTAAAATTCAACAATGTCTGTGTAATTAGAGGTCAAACTGAATCCTTCCTTTTTAGTGTCTTAGTGACTTAACACAAGTGTTAAATAATTATACTTAATGATATCTGTACTAAAAATATTTTTGTTAAAAATTTTAATTAAATAATATATAATTTTAATATATATCTCATTTTATATATCGTATTATATGATTAAATAAATTTTTATGTGATTTGTATATTATTTGTAAGTAAGGTAAGCCTTTTCTGCGTACCAATATAGTTTAACTATAATTTTACGAGAAACGAGCTGAATTTGATGAATAGAATTTCTTTACTAACTTAAATCAAAGCTTAAAAATCTTAAGAACGCACAAAGTAAAAGCTTTACAAGTTAAAGAAAATTCTAATTCACATAACGAAAGTCCGCAGTGACTATTAAAAATTTAGTTCAAGCCTTACTAACAAGGTGAAAGAGATGAAAGGTGCACTCTTCAATTACCAGCATTGCAGTGTTTCAATGCAGTTTGCAGATGCTGTGGTCAGTACTCACTGCGTATTTATTGCATTTTGTTGAACGTATTTTTCGTATTTCGTTTGTAGTTTATGCTTTTAAAGAACATCGCACATTGTCTGTAGGCTTTGTGAGGCATAAAAGTGCTTTACTAAATCAAAAATCTAGATATATATTTAAATGAGGATTCGTTTTATTTTACACTAAGCTTAAATACATAACCTACAAATTACTTTATACTATTCAAATGTAATATATTTACAATATATTAATTTTACATAATATTTAATATGTCCTTAAGAAGATATAAATAGGTTCTTAAAAATTCCTTTAATAAAAAACTGTTTAATAAAAGGCAAAACCTTATCTTTCAATGGCGCAGGACAAAAAAGGTTAAGTTTTAAATACAAATAATGTTATCAACACTTTTGCGTAACGGATAAAACAATTTATTGTCTTAAATTAAATATGTGACTAACTTCATGATATATTAATGTATGAAGTGAAAAGCCAGGTTAACGTGAACCGAAAATTACCAGTGAACCAAAGCGGACAAAAATCCAATTTACAAATTTTTATTTTAGTACAAAACTAGTTTAGACATTTCGCAAGAGTCTAGAAAATTTTCTCACAGTCTTTATTATATTCGATGTTGCACGTAGTCCGAATATCAATGCATTATTTTTAAGTTCCGTTTATTTGTCTCGAGAGCAGTGAATTGAAAGCGGCTGTGAAATTGTGTTATAAAACCTGATATGTGCATTGCACTGAGGACAAGACCGGCCTGTTATTAATAAAATCCACTTTTATTACACTCTAGCTGGTCGTGGCTGCGTCTGAACATTTAAATAATACCCGAACTTATGCATAATTTATCGCTTACGACCATATTGATATGCTTTTTTATTTGTCACACTACCCAAAGTGTGAATGTAATATTAGAAGTACTTGATACGTGAGAGGGTCTAATGGGAATACAAATATCTAATTACATTCGTCCGATTATTATGATATACATTTCCAAAAAAATAATACTACTCATTAAATTCAAAGCGACATGCTGAAAATTAGCTACGAAAAATTACTATACCTACTGTATAAAAACGTATGCGAGTTATATAATTATTTAATAAATTTTAAATTAAAAAAAAAAACATTCTAGAAGCTTCGCCTACAGGAAGTGTGGTCACGTGTGGACAAACGAATAATTGAACATTTTGAGATGTTTGGGAAAACATCCAGTATTTTTTTTAAATCCCTGATTCTCACGAAAAAATTGACAATATTAGGTAGAAAAGTGGTTTAAAAAAATATATTCGTTAATCATTTTTTCATTTCGTAGATCTACTATTTTTTTACTTAATTCACATGATCCCCAGCGATGGCCGTAAGCCCTTAAGCTATTACGTTAAATAATAATATCATTAAGTACCTAGTCACGATACGCGTGGGGTCCCCTAGCAACAATGAGCTAGTATGCACTATGCAGTCGAGAGGTACCTATTATATTTTTATAGAGGGCTAGGCTAGGCTAGACTGCTTTCTCTGGCCAGCTGCGTAGATCAAGTAGGTACGTAATAACGCACATTTTAATTCGTTAACTTTTTAAATCTGACAGCGTTGTATATATTAGTTTTATGGTCTTAACAAATAATTCATTTGAATTGTTAGTTATATAATATTTTAATAGCTTGATATTTATTTTTCTGACATTGTAAATGATAACATTTTTATCTAAAAACAAAAAACATTGACGGTGAACGTGCGTATTTTAAATATTGAAGAGAAAAATTTTATGTTTTAAAAATAATATTGATTTATTTTAGGTATAACTCATTCACGTCGGGTTGGAACTATATAAGTGATAATTTTACGTTACTATTTTAGACTGTTTTGAAATTATTTACATCGAATAGGAATCCACTTGACTAATGATAATACTCTTTAATCAAGTAAAATCTATTTACTAATGATTAAAACTAACTAAAGCATTGAACCATGCTAAAATACAAATTACAAATGCTTCCAATGCAGATATTATAATGTTCTACTAGTTTTATTTTTCTTAGTTAAAACAACTTGGCGAAAAGAAAATCTTTGTTGTCTTTTAGTTCACGTTATTTTCTTTAAAGCTTGCTTTCTAGAGTCTGGCTAATGAAAGAAGATAACGAAAAACCGCGGCAAATTCAAAAAAATGTAGTATGGTATCCCTAAAAGTTTGATATATTTTGTGGATTAAACTTACTTGATACTTGGTTTTATTTAATTATTTTTTACATTGATAGTAATTGTATTTCTATGAAATTAAATACTAAACGTATTTAGTATTTTACTATTGATACTTAAAATGACTAGTATTGCATGGAAAACTAAAACTATATTTATTATAAAACACAACTTTATTCGGAATAGCCAAATCCTGCGAAAGAAACGAAATATTCTATCAACTAAAACAAAATTTAGGCTATTTTACTTGTTAACTTTTCGGAAAAAATATATAACGGAAATAAAAATAAGTAATTGCATGAAGTATCAAGACAATAAATCATACTAACCTAAGAAATTCATTGACATTCTGTGTTGCCACCCGAAAGTTTTCAAATAATTCAATTATCTTTTTTCATTAGCCACATTAGCCACAGACTCTAAGCCATTTCAAGCCTTTTATTTTATTTGAATGAATGTTTTACGCTGTTAATATTTGTATTATATAATATGACTAGCTTATTGAAATATATAACATAAGGAAATATTATCTACTATCTTTTACCGCATATAAAAAATATTAATCTTATAAAAAGAATCTGAACTTAATTTCGGAACGTATGTTGAGTTGACAATTGACATGCTTTCCTATACCGTCACAATGACAACCCAATATTTAAACTTTGGCAATTTACATTTTTAATGAATACTTAAAAATGGGGATGTTGTCTATTCGATTGAAGCGAAATTTTTTGGGCTTATTGAAATTTTTAAACAGTATGAATTGGTTTATTATCTTTTTTAGTTTAATTAATTTGTCAATGTGTATTTATGAAGACCAAATTGGAAAATTTGATTGGTAAATAATTATTGTTGAGGTTATAAGTTGTACGACTTAATTTGTATTATTTCTTAATTAATATTTAATTAATTTCAGGCGGCAGACGTACGTAGGTCGTATAAAATTTTCACATTTCGATACAGTATCAACTGCAAAGAAAATAATAGTAGCCACTGAAGAAAATGTACTAGCTGCCCTTAATTTGAAGACAGGTAAATTATTTTTTGTTCAATTCATTAATGTTCTGGACCGTTGTTGGTTGATTTTATACAAGTATTATTATGCACATTTAGTCATTGTTATTTTAAGTTTATATTTATAAATTTGAAGAATTATGGAGCTATTAAAAATATTCTACAGGTCAGGTGGTGTGGCGTCATGTATTCGAAAATGCTAGTCCTGGAGACATTCAATTATTACATTATAGTGATGGCGAAAAGGTGACCACAGTTACAGGATCCAATCCATACCTAGTAAGAGGTTGGGATCCTGCTACAGGTATGTTAAGGCTTTAAAATTGTTATATATTTATTCAACAGTAACACTCCTATGACCTGCTGATTTGTAATTAAGAATTATGTAATGAAACAATAATTGTTTTCTTGATACAACTAAGTATAAATTTAAGAAAAAAGAAAAGAGAATTTGAAAGATACAATACAAACACAAACACACATAATTTTGATAGTGTCAGCACTTCACAAAGGTTTTCTTGGACTCCCTTTATTTTCTGAAGATATAGAATTCTAATGTGGTGTTAGTTTTAGCCATATAGAAACAATCAGAAATCATTGTGTTCATGTCTTCATTTTACTATATTCATAAACATTTTAATACGAAATGTTCAGTATAATTTTAATTACTTATCAGGAAAAAGAAGCAGATACATCACTTTAATAGAATAAAAAGAAGACAAATAAAATTACATATATAAATATTGAACTGTTAATTTTAGGTGTATTACTATGGGAGTGGCCAATATCTATCATAGATAATGAGAGAGCACATTTATCAGAATGGTGGGTTCAAAATGGTATGCTTGTACACTTGCTACCAGCATTTGGCTCACATCTAGAGGTTACTATGTATAATTTGATGACTGGTGCCAACAGAGGAGTTACATCAAAGTTACCAGCTGTTTGGACTAATGATGGGTGAGAATCCTTACAATGCTGCTAGGGTAGCGTTAAATTATTTTTTTGTTGTTGTTTAATAAAAATTATTGCCATCATGTGATATGATATTGTTTTGACCAAGGCAGTGTGTGCATTGTTGTAACTCTGCTCAAAACTTTGTGTTTTAACCGACAGACTACCTAGTTGTCTATAATGAGAATGCAAAATTAATTTGATCCCTTACTGAATTTTTTGATGTTAAGACACGTTATGCAGTTACAATTAATTTCATACATTCCATATATTATTTTCAGGTGTATACTAACTCCACCATACTATACTTGTATATCAGGTAGTATGGGCAACTACATGATTTTATCATTAGATGTTACATCTAATGCGGTACAAATAATTAGCAAACCACTATCTAATTACTTTGGTGAAAAAGAAGTAATTGAAGGTAATCTACGCTCACTAGATGGAAAAAATGTGCTACCTGGGTTTATTATTGACGATAAAAAAGTATTATTGATTAAGAATAATGAATTTGAGCAATTATATATAAAGTTAGCAGAAGACAGCACTGTAACACTTGTAGATGCAATGAATGAGCTGACTTTGATACAAGCTTCAAGCGACGAACACAAGGTGACTAGTTTAGCATTATTTGTATGATTTTTAGAATCAATCCAAAGGAAAAATGTATTTAAACCTATTTGTGTTATGATAAAGAAGCGTCTATAGAAAATGATTACATTATTCCCATCTTATCTAGAAGGTCACCAAAATGTTGTGTAGGCTAAGTAATTTATTTTATAAAAATGAGCAATTATTGGTATTTCCAGGGCTTTGCATTGTCAGCATACAATATAGCAACTGGCAAGGAGATAATGGATCTACGTATAACTGAACCATCACTTCATATTCCTGAACCCGAAATACTAGAAATAGTTTGTATAAATACAGCAAGGGAACAGCCGGCTTGCAGGATACTTATAAATGGAGCTGATGATGCACTACATCTTATGCAGCAAGGAGGTACGATATTCATTTTTATTCATTATTGTTTGATACTACACATCTTGGATATTTGAAGTATGAAAAGTTAACTTATTTTTAGGCCGCATAATTTGGTCCCGGGAGGAAGCACTGGCTAACATAGTGGCTGTTGAATTTGTTGATCTACCCGTATCAGAAACCGATGCTGCACTGGAGTCGGAATTTGATCAAAAAGAAGGTATGTATATTAGTCTGACTATATGAGAATATAAGCTTATTTATAACATTATACTGAACTTTTATATTTTTTTAAAATATATATTATACTAGCAGACTCGGCCAAGCGTTGCTGTGGCTAAGGTTTTTGTTATATTACATAGAAGTCGACTATTCAAGGGAAACGGTAGGAGAACATCAGTCATGGGGACCACCATGCTTTTTTGGTGGTTATGCCATTAAATTGTAGCCTATGTGAAACGTTGGTACTTTCAACACAGCGCCATCTGTTAGAATTGTGACTGTCAAATAATAAACAAATAATTTGCAATAAAATAATATTGCGGGTATAAATTAAGATGTAAGCTATCGTATCTTTTAAGTTAGATCAAACTGCACACGGTGTGCAAATTTGATAGAAATCGGTTAAGTAGTTTAGGAGTCCATAGCGGACAAACAACGTGACGCGTAATTTATATATATTAAGATTATTTTTGAAACCATTGCTGTTAAAGTGAAATTTATTAAAAAACTAGGTTTTCGGTTTTTGTTCCCTAAAAGCTTATACTTTATAAGTGTGGAATATTAAATAAATTTCTAGTCTGTATTCAGTTATCTATATTCTGTTACCATGGCAATTGCTATTTTGAGTATCAAGGCATGGCTGGTACAACAAATTATTGTTCATTGTAAAATTCACATTACTAGAGCGAAAACATGCTTTTACTAGATAGTGAGAAGGAATATTACAATATTTTAGTCTATTGAATTATTAAATATTATTTTCCCCACTATGAATACAAGCTCAAAGTAATTCTATGTATTTATACGCTTTTAAAACCATAACCGATATAATGAAAAACCATATTATTGTAAAACTAATATAATTTAAATTTTGCTTTCTAGCCATCAAGGTGTACAGTGAGTATTATTTAATCGACTCTTGCGTGTGTACTCTGACCTATTTATTTCCCTTTTTTATGTTGCTTGGCCTGAAAGGCTGGTATGGTCTTAAATGTTTTGACCTTTCTATTGCATATTCACTATTTAGCATTTAGTGATATATTATACTGTGTTCTAAATATGTTGTAATTAATTAAGCTTATAGGCATTCCTCCAACTTAATATAATATATAGTAGATAAAGAAAGCTCTCGCTATAGTACTGAGACCATATCATCTGTCATTAGTAATTTTGACAATTGATTATATCACAAAAAAACTATACAACGTTTTAAACTTTCGAAAATAAACAAATTTACATGAATTCTGAAACTAACAATAAACAAGTATATATATATGCATACATACATATAGTTACTAATTATATTATTATAGTGCATTTTGATTGCCATGTAAATAAATATTCTATATTCATGTTTTCATTCTCTATGCCTCTAATTAAAATGCTGCTTACTATACCACATTTTATTCAAAACATTGAGAATTTATTCTCAACGATTACATAATCTGTGTATTTTTTCTTGATATTAAGTTTATTATGCATGTGTTTACGAAATATGTAATCAACTTATATAAAAACTTTTTAGCGTATATAAAATTACTAATTAACAAAGGTAAAGAGACTGTTAGGAGTGCTAGAATAGTTAAGGAAATCCTTTTAACTTCTGCAAATCAAGTTTGGACTTAAAATAAAACAGTATACCCTAATGCAAAGTAAAATGTACCTTATGTTAATACAGTATGGTTTAATTTAGGTTCAGTATGGGCAGCATTCGTTCGTCGTCTATACACGCAGTACCAGCAGTTGCAAACGCTGCTACAGAACTGGCAAGGCGAAGGCTTAGAGGCGGATTCCCCGACGGCACTTGTTAGAGATTACTTCAACTTGCATAAGATTATTGTTCTCATTACTGATGTTGGAAAGGTGAGACTGTTTAGACTTATTGATAGAAATAAAATAATTCTAATAAAATAATTTAACAAAAATCGTGGTCTATTCTTTGTGAGTAAGGTTTAAATTTACACGATTATAAGTGTACAGACTACGTCATATTTCATTAAATTAACTGAAATCGACCTTAAAACGTAAATTTCCTTAGGTGTCCCGTGTTTTTTGCAAAACAGTTAACATTGTCTAAAATACTTAAGGAAGCGTTCAAGTATTACGTCACGCAATTTTTGGAGATTATTGACCCCCCCAATGTAACGCGCTGTAACGTTTTTCTGTACCCAAGTATAGTAAAACGTTTCGTGACCACCCAGTGACCTAAAAGTTACAATTATGAGGTGTAAAGTACTGGAAAGTCGAAAATAATAATACTAACAATAACGCGTAATTCAAACCCCGCCCAGCATCGTAACGTTTTACCAAAGGAAACCCCGTTTCGTTACGTAATACTTGAACGCTCCCCTACAACATATCAAAGTAGTTTAAGCAAGTCCAAGGGTGATTCGACTCATGTCTCTTTCACAGCGTAAACACAATTTGACAGAAGGAAACAAAAGCTCTAGCAATTCCACTAGCATTTGGCTACAAATATTAATAATAAATATATCTTTTCACCGTAGATATACGGCATGGACAATCTATCTGGTGAAATACTCTGGCATCGTTACGATGGTAACCTAAACACGGAATCCGTAGTGATGTTTACGCGACGTACGGCGAGGCATCCACCGCATGACGCGTACATCACTATTATTGGAAAACATGAGGTATATTTTTAATTGGAAATTATGTGGAACCGATATGAGTGAGGGTCCTTCAAGAAAAGAGCGTACCGAGTCTTAAAAGGCCGGTAACACACTTTAGGTAGGAAGCTTTCTAGAGTCTGGCTAATGAAAGAAGATAAAGAAAAAGTACGGCAAATTAAAAAAAAAAATAGTATGGTATCCCTTAAAGTTTGATATATTTTGTGGATTAAACCTACTTGATTTTATTTTATTATTTTGTACATTGATAGTAGGGATGCATCGATACGCTTTTTTGCCGATACGATACCGATGCCGATACACTTATAGGAATATCGTCGATACCGATACCGATACCAACGCTTATTGAATTAAAAATTAAATTAAGGTAAAATATATCAAGTTAAGTTAAAGTAATTTTTATCAAAAAAATATATACACAAAAAATAGTCACAAACTTTGAATAATTTTAAAGGTAAAACCTTTAAAACCTTTACTAAAATTAAGAATTAAGAGTAATAATTAAAATAAAATAAATAACTGTTAATAATTAAAATTAACAATGATAACATTGTTGTAATTCTGTATTTTATTAACTCGTTTGCAACAAACTAGATCATACAAAATGCGCGTTTACATTATTTTTTTAAAGCGTGAAATTTGAAAAGTATCGGTGAATCGGCATCGGTATCGGATGCATCCCTAATTGATAGTAACTGTATTTTTATGAAATTTAATACTATACGTATTTAGTATTTACTATTGATACTTAAAATGACTAGCATTGTATGGAAAACTAAAACTATATTTATTATAAAACACAACTTTATTCGGAATAATCAAATCCTGCGAAAGAAACGAAATATTCTATCAAATAAAACAAAGTTTAGGCTATTATACCCTTTAACTATTCGGAAAAAATATATGATAGAAATAAAAATGAGTAATTGCATGAAGTATCAAGACAATAAATCATACTAACCTAAGAAATTCAAGGCATTCTGTGTTGCCATCCGAAAGTTTTCAAATAATTCAATTATCTACTTTCATTTGCTAGACTAGCATTGTGAGAGCGACTGATATTAACATTAGTCTACCCCCAGCCCGTTAACATTTTTAAAAATCTCAAACGTCGTTAAAATTGATTTAAAACGTCAAATTATAAAAACAGTTGTACGCGGGTGTACACATTTAAACAAAAGTTTAACGTTAATTTTCTAATTAGTATCTCAAGTCAAAATCTCGTATTGAGCGCTGTCAAATATGTCAAACTTCATACAGAAGAAATAGTTTGACAGCATTAGAAACTAGATTTACGAGTAAGTTTGATTGACGTTTTAGAATACGGGCTAGAATACTCAGATATAAACCTGAATTTATGACATATAGATTTCACTTAGTACTTTTTATGATTTTCATAAAACCTCTTTATAATTCCAAATGATAAAATTGTCACTTAAAAAATATTATTCTCTCAAATCAATACCGTTGAGGAAGTGTTGTGGGTACATATAGAATAAACCATAGAGTTAGTCGGAGTTTAAACTCTTAACAACAACTTAGCTACTATATTGCACAGGAAACAGGCAATGGTTATATAATTAGCCTAAACCCGATCCGCGGTACATTAGTGGGCGAAAGGGCGTTACAACTCGACGTGAGGTTGCAGCAAGTTGCCTTACTTCACGTCGCTGACTCGGAGAAACTTTACGCTCTTGTATTGTTGGATGAAGATGAAACTGTACAGGTAATTTGTTTTAAATTATCGCTTTCTTTTTTGTTTTAAATTATCGCTTTTTTTTCACTGGTGTTAGCGGTTATTGTTATTGGAATAGGGTTTCAACAGTTTTCCTTTTCAAATTGTTTTCCAAAGATATGTCTTTTTAAATGTGACGTTGCAAAGTTAATCGTGAGCATAGTTGTAAAGATAATCAATATATAATACTGTCACGGTTTAAAGGTAATAAATAACATTTATTTTAAATTAATTTTTAATTAATAGTTTCTTCATAATAGATAAAAGTCAATAAAATAATACTTATTTACGGTTTTAATGAATAAATTAAACATAAAAAATGTTTCAGGTGTTCCCAGTCTCTGCAGCGCCGTTAGTTCGAGATCTCTACATGTACGTCGCTGACAGAGATACAGGCAAAATGCAGGGATACACACTCAGATATAATGGCAAGGTAATATTATTATTTCAGTTTACTCTATACACATTGAAACTTATAATAAAGAGTCTGGCTTAGCCTTTCCCTGTAAGATTGTTAATTATTTGTTTCGTTAAAGTTTCTAGACATAAGATAAATTACTTTGCAAATACGTCAATGTTATATTAATAGTGATTGGATCCAATAATGTTTCAATTGCTAGTGTAAAGTCTTAGTGCCTATCAGTAGTTTCGTTCAGCTAATCTCATTGCGTTGTTATAAAACGTGGATTAAAATTAGTACCGTTTGTTTCCATGGTTACGGTGGTATAACCATACAAAAATGTTTAATAACACCGTCAAAGTGGTCAAATATAATATTTGAACCCATAAATAAATTAAAAAAACGATATTAAATTTTATTTTTATCTATTTTTCAGCAAGTTATAGCCCAACGTACGTGGTCGTTGAACTTGGGCGGGACTGGTGCACGCATAGTAACGATCGCGGGCAAGAGTCGCAACGAACGCGTGCACTCGGCGGGCAAACCTTTGGCTGATCGGAGTGTATTGTATAAGTACTCCAACCCTAATCTAGTGCTTGTACTGTTGGAGAGGCCTGATCCGATACATAAAGGTACCACTGTTATTCTATTATTTTATAGACACAGGTCGTATTTTGTATGTGTGTAATAAATAAACCTAAAACTACTGGAGCGATTTACAAATCAATAACTAAATGCTATTATCCTTGAGTAACAAAAGCTAATTATTTCCAAAATATTTTTAAAATACTCGGGAATCTAGGACATGCTGGTACTTAAAAAACTATTGATACTTTTAATCGTCTTCAACTTTAGTTTCTTGAAAAATTATACGATTTCACTTAACGCGCTAATCTCTGGAACTGAGACTGTATACTATATAGTAACTTGCTACGACCAATTAAACGCGAATGAAACCACCAGTGACAGCTAGTATAAGTGGAATATTTTATTACAATAAGTGGTATGTCTTATCTTCCGTGTCGTTATGTTTCTTATAGATGAGTTATCGGACCATAACAGGTTGCAATGTAGCGTCGGATAATTCCCGCAATGTTTTTAAATTTTAAACTGATATTTTTAATTGTTTGCATTCAAATGATATGCAATTTTCTAGGTCCAGTGTTCGGAGGCCTAAAAAGATGTTTTTGACCCTGCTTGAACTGTTTTCAACTTGATGACTGCAAGATATGATAAAATTAAATTCTCCATTTTAAACTCTCGAACATTTGATTTCAGCGTTAATTGCACTTTGTATAAATTTAAAACGTTAGTAAATTTATGTACATGTGGCGTACAAGAACATCACTCCTCTTTTCTATTAAAAAAATTTTTTTTTCAGATGTAGTAACAGCGGTAGCTGTAGATGGGGCATGTGGCGCAGTAGTAGCGGCGTCTACGCACCGACGGGCGCGTGCGTTGCCTCTCGCCGTACACGCGGACAACACGATCGCTTATTTATATAGAAGCGATAAACATCGACGATTGGAGATTGGTTAGTGTCATATTTATATAGTGTTTGATTTTGCGTTACAATTTATAAATAAAAAGTGCGTGTGTACGAAGTACACATGTCAGAAGTGAAACTTCTTTGCGAACTAATTATTAAGTCTTGTTCATATCAATCAACAAATCAATCAACAGAGGGTGCCTCCTAAAAGGAAGATATGTTAGGAATTTAATAAATTTAATTACCATTAAAATATTAAGTGTCGAAAATTAATACAAATTTTGAATTTTTTACATTAATTTTTTCGATAATAAAAACACGTGGCATTATAATTTACAATTTGTTATTTGAGATTTCAATTCATAATTTTGCATTCAATATAAAATACTAGTATTTCATAAATTCTCTTTACGTTATTATAATTTTAAAAATATAATTTCTATAAGGTAATTCGGCCTTCTCACTCTCTCTCGGTCGGTATCAATCGCTCTCTCCCTTTTCTTCGACAAAAACTGCACATCTTCGTGACGTTTTCGTAAAAATTTACCCTTCATGCGTCTAAAGAATTTTCACTCCAAAAATAACGGATATAAACGGAAATTTATCACGAGGAAGAGGCGGTGAAAGTCTTCCTGCTCACGATTGGTAAAAAACACTGAAGACGTTAATAACATAAGAAGTTCTTGTGATTATCCGTTAAATTAGATTTATGGTATCTGTGTAATTATTTGGTAATTTTAAAGGGATATTTAATTATAGAAAACGAAATTTATAAATAAAAGAAATATAGGAAATGTTTTTAATTTAATAAATACATATCGATACTAATGCTAAAATATATTAATTTCAGACAAATTATTTCACATTTATTAACATTCATAAAACCTTTTTTCAGCGACAATGGAATTATATGAAGGCAAAGAGCGTTGGCTATCAGCGGGCACGCAATTTAGTTCGTTTGCCTGCGCGCGCGCACCGAGCGTAGAAAGACAAGCGTATATCTTACCAGGCGCCCTCACTGCGTTGGCTTTTACAACTACGGAACGAGCTATTACGGATACGCATCTATTACGTAAGGATTTTTTTGAAATCATAAAGTAATTTTGAGATCTTTTGCTATCAGTTAACGCCCGAACAATAACCAATATCAATCCATAATCCACCATCTGAGATAGTAATCTTAAGCCAAATGTTGTAACAAGTGTGCCAATAACCAATCGACGGATTGTAATAGCCATCTGTCGATACAAGCTATCCATCGGAGGTGGTATCGGTGTATGTGGATAGACCTTTGTATGAAAATGACAGTTGACGAAAGCTCGATTTCAACAGTTAATTATTTTAACAGATTTTAACTTACACCAGTTTTTTAAATAATTAAAAAAACTGTTTGTTATGTTTTAAACATACACATGTATATTTTAATGTTATTTGTACGGTTTTATTTACTTTATTTGGTTTACATTGATTATCAAATATGAGTGAAAACTCGGTAAAATGGAACGACAAAGAGCATTTTATCCGTCGCCAAAAATGGATTGTCTTCGTAGGGTTTGGTTATTGGGATGCAGATAGGTGATCGATCGACTGTCACGGTCTGATCTCAGATGGTTTTCAATCGTGAGATTGTGGATTGATTATTGGGTTCGGGAGTAAGTGGCTTGCCCTTCAAAAACGTAAAGCGGCGTCACCTTGGGTGCTACTAAAAGTATTAAAATCGATCTGTATTTCTGCTTATGCAAACATTATCAGTGAAGCTGCTCTTGACGGAAAAGATAATGTAATAAACTAAATTATTTCAAGAATTGTTCAAAAGCACCATGCTATTCACAGCAGTTATTTATGATACATAAAATAATGACTTACAATTCCTGTATCTTCAGTCGCCCTGTCGACGGGAAAAATACTGGAGCTTCCCTGGTCGTTTGTGGAGCCCCGTCGACCTCTATCCCCTACTGGAGAGCATCGGGAAGAGGGATTGATCCCCTATGCACCCGAAGTGCCCCTGCCCTCTGAAGCCTCATTGAACTATAACCAGACAACTCACCGAGTCAGAGCTATATACGCAGCCCCATCGGGGTTGGAGTCTACCAGTTTGGTGCTTGCAACTGGATTAGGTATATTCACAAACTAAATACACAATAAAAAAATCAATGGCGCTACAACCTTTTTAGGTCTGGGCCTCAGATTTTTCAGAATCGTGATTAGTCAATCTATTAGGTGATCAGTCTTCTGTGTCTGACACACGACGTCGACTTTTGGGTTTAAGGCATGCTGGTTTCCTTTACGGTTCGAGCGAATATAAATTGCGCACATAGAAAGAATGTCCATTGGTTCACAGCCGGGGATCGAACCTACGACCTCAGGGATGAGAGTCGCATACTGAAGCCTCTAGGCCAACCCTGCTCTTAATACACAATCACTTATAGTAATGTATATTTATCGTAGAACTTGATTTAAAATTAGTAACGTTCGCGTTCGTGTTCGTTGATTTATAAGTCGTAAATATTCATCTAATTTTCTATGATCATAAAAGCACTTTTATACTAATTTTAAATTATACCAATTGAAAGTACATTTGTTGCTAACAGATTATCTAATATATAAAATTCTCGTATCACAATGTTAGTTACTATACTCCTCCGAAACGGCTCAACCGATTCTTATGAAATTTTATATGCATATTCAGTAGGTCTGAGAATCGGCTACTATCTATTTTTCATACCCCTAAGTGATAATGGGTTGTCCACCCCTAACATTTTATTTTTAATTTATGGCCGAAATTTAAAAAATTTTTTTATAATGTGCCATTAATAATAACATACAACCATAAATTTCTATTTTTTATTATAGTAGATAGTTATTTTTATTGAACTAAAAAAATTTCCTAGAAATAATATAGGTACATGGCATCGATGCGATGAGCATTTGGTGTTGTGCTTAGGTCTTGGATGTTTAAATATGTATTTATATGTCTATCTATAATATGTATGTATATCCGTTGCCTAGTACCCATAACACAAGCTTCACCAGCTTAGCATGGGACTATGTCAATTGGTGTGAATTGTCTAAAAAAAAAAAAAATACAACGTTTGCCGGGTCAACTAGTATTATATATCATTATATGTTTAGTTTGTATTTTTTCGAATAAAATATGCCTTCACGCAAACAGTGAATCACTTAATAAAGATTTGGTACAGTGGTGTGGTATCCAGTGTTTAATGTTTTTTGTTTTCAGATATATTCTACACACGAGTGGCCCCTTCGAAGACATTCGATCTCCTCAAGGACGACTTTGACTATCACCTAATAACAATAGTGTTGGGTGCGCTCATAGTAGCATCGTACAGTACTAAATATTTCGCCTCTAGGAAAATGCTTAAACAGGCGTGGAAGTGATACTTTCGCTCTATGAGGAATTTGAACTGTTTTAATATTATAGGTTTCCTAAATAACTCTTTGGTCGAAATGCTTGAAATTTCTAGATCTTATTGCTTCTGCTGTAATAAAAAAAAATTCGATACATATTTTAAAGTGCCGTGAATTTAACTGGTTCTCACTACAAAAAATTGTCTTATTATTAAGAATAGCTAAGTATTAAAAGCAATATTAAACTTTACGGTTAATATATGATTTATTATAAACCTCCACTGCCAAGCTTTCAGTTCAAATTCCTTTGTGTGTGTGTGTGCGTGTGTGTGTGTATACATTAAGTTAATATCGGCTATAGACAAAACGGTGCTAATTCCACAAGACTATACATTTGTATGAAACTCTTAACATCGCTAAGCATTCCTAAAACTTGCTTAACACCAATAAATTTGCTGAAAACTCTCATATTAATCTTAAAATGATAAAAATAGTTTAGAAAAATAAATGTTTTAATAAAAAAACTCTATAGAAAAACAGAATTAGCACCAAACGTAAGTATTACTTGTCTCGAGTTAATACGACGTGAATGAAACAGAATGATCGTGCATCTCTTTCTTGTCTATGGCCTCGGCTGACTCTGCCAAAGAATAGTACTGAAGAGTTAATAACGGTGAATTTGTAAACAGAAATAATAACAGTTAGCCATAAGGCAACTATATATCCAATAATTAAAACTTTCCGCGCATTATTTGAAAAATTATACTATTACATACCTATTTATGTAATGTGAAACAATCAGTTATCGGGATTTTAACCAATTACTATTTTTGACATGAGTAAGCCGGACGATCTAGTTAGCTGGAAAATCTTGGTTACCATAGCAACGCTGTCATATCGTTGTTATGGTAACAAAATGTAACTTATTGTAAAGACTTAAGGCTACGGCTCCATATATGGTATTTTTATATTAAAGACTAATAATATAACTTATAAATTCAATTTAGCTTATTAATAGCAAAACTGATAGAGGTTATTAGTTACGCATTTATAAGAAACATTTTTTATCTAGTCTATGGCCAACTGGCGCCGTAGCTTTAAAGTTAACTTTGTAGTGAACGCTTAAATCGAACAGATTTTAAGTTTAAGTAAATAAGTTCATAATGAACTAGAAATTTTACATATACTATATACTAAAATAAGGAAGTATCACCAAATAGGTTAAATTTTAACAAGTGCGAGTTAATATATATAAATATTTAACTATCAATATAAGGTAATGGAATTATTTAGTCTCGAACTTTCGGATAGAGGAATGTCGTAAATTCATTTTAACACGAAACATTAATCCGTAGACAATAAATGAATTCAAGATGGCGTAATGACAATGTACAAATGTGTTGCGTATATTCTGTTCATTGGTCACGCCTTATATCAGAATAAATAGGATTTATTATACCATATTATAATAGCTAGTGCAATTTAGTTAATAGGGTGGTATGTAATTGTTAAGACCATTCCAAACGGAATTTATTTGAATATTTAATTATGGTTTTTGTAGATTTAATTAAGTATAATTCCTGTGTTTGTGCTTGTGCATCGAATCTATACATTGAGGTCCTCACTGCGGTCAAAATATGTATGTAGCTGTCATGCTGTACCGTTAACAAATTAAAAGCAGGCCAGTTAAGATCACGATAAATCGTCATGATGATATTTAAAAAAGCCGGTATTTTTTTTGTATCGTATGAAGTCATGAAGGCCAGAGCAACGTTGAGATCCCGATCACAAGTCAGCAGGGATGACACGGGAAATTATGAATATAGGCAGGTTTGAAAAGTTCATGATGGACCCATTGAAAAGTGAAATTAGTAATTAAACGCCACCTAGGTGCAGTCGTATGAAGTTTTAAATGAATACAGCGCCATCTATGTACAGTATATGAACTTTAATTAGGTGTTTGGTTTTCGTTTGTTGGTCTATTGTTAATTATATTTTAGGGTGCCGCCAATCATTTAAGATAAATAGAATAAATTCGGAATATATTAAAAGTTTTATACAGTAGGTAGTATTATGTAGATCAATTTTATATAACATAACACCAATGGTAAACTAAATTTTCAGGTCTTAGACAGCGTAAAAATTATGTCGCGTCTAACAATTTTAGTAGAATTTATCTTGGTAAATTTGTATTCTCTGTCGGAATAAGTAATACTATTACCCCCTATTCATATAAATTTAATATATTCAAGCGTCTCTTTCAATTAAATATTATTAACGTTTTGACGGAATGATCCCAATCACTGATTCCTCATATAGTAGAGTAACCTAACCACAGATTTTATTTTAAAAATAAAGTTAATCTCCTATTCTACTTTTCCATACACCAATAGTTTCTATGCTCCTTACACGCCTATTAAAGAAAAAGCAATACAGGAATCTGGGGCGCTGACCTAAAAAGCGCGCCTTTTTTTATTATTTGTTATATTCTTTGTGTTCATTGATTTGCGGTAAGGTATTCTATGTTAATAGCTATAGCGCCGATACTTAGTAATTTCTAATAGCGATCCCGACATTTTAGTTTGCAATTCCGATGTTCTGGATATTCGTAGCGCTGGTGCTGCAAAGTCGGGATTGCTATTGGGAGTTTCAGAGTACCGATGCTGCAGTTTTATTCTAAATTGTATAAGTCGAATGGTAATAAATATAATTTCATAAACAGTTGCTGACAACATTGTGGTTATTACAACTATTTTCACTATTACCTAGGTAATTCGTACCCTTAGTCATGAACATACTATAAGTCTCATTGGCTATTTAACGTATTTATTGTGACATTACAAATATGATTTCCGAACGAAAACTAATTTAATGGTTTTCGTATTATTCCTGATTATAAATTCATTTAAAAAATCACAGTTTTTTTTTCATTTATTTTTATTGCATAAACAAATGGTTATTGTGACAAGTCTACAACTAATTAAGACTTATATGATATGATTATAGTATGTTTGTGACATTTGAAACGACATTAATACAAAAAATGGCTTACATAGTTTAAGCTACTATAACGCTCCAATCACTTTAATATTAATTCTATTAAGAAGTTTTATATCCTAAATATATAATCCCTGTAAACTAGTAATATTTGGTAGACGCCATTAGACACCATTTAGTGTGCAAAGAACAATTATTATTTTAATGCTAAGGTTTTTTTTTTAATTTTAAGAGTATTTCTGGTGGATTGTGATTTATGTCCGACTGTACCATCTTCTGTGTAAGTAATATTAATTCTGGTATAAACAAAACGCACTACGTTACTCAAAACTACCAACGTTGTTAAAAAGAGAATTGTCTTAAAAACTTTGCCAGATAATTTTTTATCAATTTAGCTAGACCAAAATTCACTATAAATGAACAATTTACCGCTGATTGAAAACTTACTTACTGCTGTAAAAACCAATATATAAGAAAAGTATTTTTCCAAAATCTACCTAAAACTACTATACATATAGTAAGGGTGTGACTCGGAAATAGTGTTTATTGTTAGTTCATACCCGCGTACATAAAAGTACATTTAAGTCACTATTTAAAAAAAAATAGGAATAGAAAATAATACTTATTTATAATTGTGGAATGGATGGTACAGTCTCGTAAATTCATTAAACGGTAGCCTTATAAACCTGCATCAATGTACAAAACTTGTTGCAAAGATATAGCGTATATGATATTGTTTTCAGAGACACTGTTGGTATAATAAATCTGAATTACCTACTGTATTGTTTTTTTTCATACTCAGTGGTAAGTTTGCTTTGAAAAAAAAGAAACGTTTTTGAATCATAGTTAACTGGAGATAAATCGCGTTAGAAGTTGCCGCGTTGGTGTTTTCGTAAGAATCAATTATTTATTTATTTCCTATTTTTACAGTAACTTAATACAATAGAAAACTTATTGATATAACAATTAAAATATAATATTTACTAAAAAATGTTTAAAAAATAATTTCTCTTAAAAAATATTGGTCTTTTTTATTTTTAAATGTCTAACCATACATTTATTAAATTCTACTTTGTGTACGCTGTTGTTTGTATACCCCCAGTTACCTATTTATACAAAAAAAAATAACAAAGTATATATTTATAATAAATTCTAAGATTCATTCATCATTAAAATATATATTTAATATAAAGGAAGAACAATATTAAGTCATTATACCTAGGTACAAATATAAAACGTATATAAACATTAATGGAATTGAATTGTAATCACACAGGTTATAATATAATCCAGGTTCGAGTGCACGTGTTTTGTGGTCATCTCAACTTTGGCAAAGGTGATATATGAATAAGTTTAGATATGTAGTTTTCAAACGCAAAAATAAGAGTAAATCCATTAGACCAAAACATTTAATTGAATATAGCTTTTACATTTTTATCATAATCCTTATTATCACATTCATATGGAGTTCCAATAATTTCAGCGAGCTTTATGAATTTGTTGTTAGGGGGTTGGATTACATTTGAGTTGTTACAAAATCCTCGTAAATGGAGCCACGCTGCGCCGAAGTTGTATGACAAGATCGTTTTAAAGAACTGTATGGCGAGGGCCTGAAATTGGAAATAACAAATGGTAATGAAACATTCCGGGATCTAATCCAGGATATTTATGTACGGTGCTGTGTGAGGGTAATGTCAACTTATAAATATTTACGTGAATTAATTTTTTGCACAAAAAAACTTACTAACGACATAGTCATTGGGCGTGTTCGGCCAAGTAAGTACTTACTAATTAGTAAGCCAGTAAGCATAAAAAAATTAAAGTCTTAGAAGCTGACTGTAGCTTTTCGGCCAGGACAACTTACTGGCTTATTAACATAACACAAAACACCGGTTTATGTCATATCCCGTACATAACCTCATAGACTGAATATAATTGACAGTACTAAATTTAGGAATATAATTTAATACCTGTGAATAGTTTCAAATGGATAATTTTATGAGAAATATTTTATTGGATATTTTATTGTCCGTTTTGTTTACATCAACAATAAGCAAAATGGCGTCGTATATTAAGCCATACTTACTGCGTTAGCACTTATTTTGTGTCCCGGCCGAAAATTTTGTAAGCATAGTAAGTGACTTACTAAATTTAGTAAGTACTTACTTCGGCCGAACACGCCCATTGCTACCCGGTAATCGAAAAAATTTAGTTTAGTTTGACATGTTTGACAGCGCTGAAGACATTGTGAATTAAAATACAAATTAAACTATGCACTTTAAATAAATACAACAAAAATTATATTAAAATATTGTTGTGTTTCAACATTTTAAAATAAATGTCAAAAAATATGAGCTGTTGTTATTCTATTACCTGCAGCGGTTTTGGTTGTTTCCTAGACAAATATACGGAAACACACTTCATAGCTTCTTCTAAATCGTCTTCGGACAGGCGTAACTCAGTAGTGAGCGGCGCAAGCGCAGTCAGAGCAGCTATTTGGAGGTGAAAAGGGGGGGAAAGTCGGTAACTTGATCCTGTGTCTTTCAAATGACTTTCTGTTGACAGCGTGTGAAGCTGCTTGTATAGTTTTGGTAGAACTTCCCTAGAATAATACAGAAAAAGATTATTATACTATTTTTCAAAGCATAGACTAAATATAATGTCTATTGTGATTGTATAAGTCTTATGTAGCGGCAACGCACTCGCGAGCCCTTGGGTATTGAGAGTGTCCATGGGCGCCTGTATCACTTAACAATCGTTTACACAGTCTGTTTGCCTCTTGATATATATATATATATATATATTATTTATATATATGTATTTACATACGAAGATGTTATGTATGTGTTTTAACGGATAATGGTGGGAAGTGATATTCTAATTTTACATATACTACTTTTATATTAGGGGTAGGTATTTACAAAACGTTGTCTATGGTCTGGAATCTAATTTAAGATGGGCAAGTAATTCTCTAGCTTTATCTCTTACTATAAGTTATTAAAAATATTACTTAATTTTACAAGAAAGATTTATAAAAATTCATACTTGACTTGTAAATGTTAAATACGGAAAAATCTAATAAAATTCAACTCACTTCAAAGTACGATGCCGAATGAAATCCTTGGAGAGCATTGCCAATGTGACCAGAACATCTAAAGCTCTTCTTAGAACCGCTGTGTCAGTGTCTTCGAATCTTGTTACTAACGGACCCCAAGTTTGATGAACCAAAGGCAACAACTCGTCCTCATAATCCTTTATAACAGGCAAACCCAGGGTCAAAATTTGTAAGGTCAAGATGGCGTCGTCCCGGTTTTTCGCTGGCACAAAGTTGATGCATCGTTTGAGGATTGTTATTGTTACCTCTATGTGTTTTGGTAGTGGAGGCTTTTCTTCTAAAAATGTGCAAATATATGATTGAATATATATATTTTTTAATTAGCTATTTTCTGATACCGGGTCTAATCAAAATTTATATATTAGTATCTGTTTTTTGAAGATAATTCATATAGACTTCACAAACAAAACATCAGCCGGTGTATATTGATAATGTCATAGTGCTGTTACAAAATTCAGCATGCTTGCTACCAAACTTCGATAGAAGAAAGAAAAATTGTACTGGTTGCTCTGAAGACATCCACGTTATCAGTACAAAATAAATAATTTATCTATAATCAAGTCCTAATGCCTGTATCGACTTATGGTTGCCAGCTGTGGGACTGTAGCTACATCTACATAATCCAAAGATTACAAACAAAGTGCACAGGGGAATAGTCAATGCTCCCTGGTACATTCGCAATGACGACCTCCATCGGGACCCTAAAGTAGAGGAGGTCACCAGAATAATAAAAAAAGATTGCTGGAGCCCACGAACAAAGGCTCCACACGTGAATGTCGAGGTTATTCAACTTGTGTCTAGTGAGAAGATTGAAAAGGAAAAAACCGTGAATTAGTGCGAGTGCTCGTTAGTCTTATGTGCTAAACAGTGGTAAGTGGAAAAACTACTAGACAAGAACAGAGTCGTTCCAGACTGTAAGTAGAGTTATTGGACTTTCTTATCGCCACTGTAGAATGATAACCTCGTATGTCAATCAACCATTTATATTTTATTCTTAGACTCTTATGTCATTTAAATGGTATAATCTAAGGAAGGACTTATTTATGTTATTAATAAATAAGACCTTTTCACCATATTATAATAATATTTTAACGAACATTGATGAAATGAAACATTTTTTCATTTCCTGCTATGTTTGGTTCTCTAGACATACGAGGTTATCATTCTAGCGAGGTTATGTTCAATATCCTTTTTAGGAAATTAGACTGAAATTACTTATTAATCTTATGTTAATGTAATGTAATGATGATCGTAATTGAAACATATTTGATGTTTTTTGTCTTTTTAGAAATTAAATATTGTCACTTGGTTTTACACAAATATTATTTCATTTATTCGCCTCTTTGTTAACAAATGCATTATAATAGGGGAAAATTCTCTCGACGGCAAAACGTAAAAAATATAAATCCGTATAAAATAAAAATGAAAAATAAAGAGTGAACAGCGTTAATGGTTCACAACTCTTTCTCCTATTTACTAAAATCATTCACGGCTGTGGTCTATATAATGTTTTGAAAATATTAAGTCTACTCACTTGTCACCGTATCATCATAATCCAATGCGTCATTCTCCGTCCTTTCCAAATCCTCATTAAACATTTCCTCCACGCTCCTGCCATCCTTTTCACTCTCATTTATCGCCCTCTGTGCCTCCTCCTCGCTCTTTATATACTCTAAAACGTCATCGAGTACATCTTTCGTATCTGTGTGCTCGTTTTCTGTGCGTTTGTGTGGGAACCATTTGTATATACACGAGACAAATGTGTGAAAGACTTGTAGGTATGAGTAGAGATTCTTTTGGTAGTATTTATCGCAGCTTTGGAGTAGTACCTATAGAAAATAAATACAATTTCATTTGATTAAAAGTAAAACACAATCACTTTAACCAAAAATTGGCAACACTGATTTTCTGTGGGTACAACAATTTTTTTTCTCTTTGCCTATATTTTTGGTTCTTGCTTTTATGTGTTTTCCTTGCTTGTTTGTAATTCCTATGATCTAATATAATTGATGTGGCAATGTAAGATTTGTAATGGCATATTTTCTTGTATTCTTAAGTTAGAAAAAGTAATATAGGAATAAAGTTTTATTTGCTTTTCGTGATTTAATTATATTAAAATGTACGGAACAGAACAATAGTTGGAATTTCAACACAAGGTATTATTTTAATTGGGGTCCCATAGGTGTCACATGGGGCAGACTAATTTCTAGAGAGATGTTTCTATTTAAAAAAAAATATTTGTAGGTTTGCAACGAATTCCTACTCATAATTAATAATTAATACTCCAAAACAATAATTTTTTCACGGAAACTGAACCTATTAATGCATTGGATTAACCACATTTTTACTTTAGTAATTATTATTACTAATACTACCTATTATTATTATAACTTATTTAAATTTTTCTCTCGAGTAATTTGAACTGCATTATTTCAAATACATATAAAAAATATACATACATCTTCCACAATCCCATACATATATTCCAGTATTGTGCTATCGCTGTATTCCATTACGACAGACAAAATCTCAAGGGCCGACTGTGTGTTCCAGGCCTGAAAGTAATTTAAAATTATTAATTTTTTTTATAATTTTATCCTATCAAAAATAACCTAGCAGGGTTGACTTCAGGCTTGAATGTGCACTTCTTAAAGGCTTCATTCCCTAAAATATAGTTGAGCATGACATCAAAATGATGGCTGGCTCACACGTCATGCTTGTGAACAGGTGTCGCTTCCGGAAACTGGACTGCGAGGTTTCCGTTCAGTTTTGTAATTAAATACAAATAAAGAGCGCACCGTATCTCCCTCCTTCTGGTTTCTTCTATGTTTGCCATTGTCATTTTGTATGATGATTTGATATTTTAAAAGAGTACCACGAGTTTTTTACACCAGCTTTTTCTCTCGGCCTACACCCTCTGTCTTCTTTGCCGATGAGTAGGGATGCCTACAGATTCAAATTTAATGACGTGGAACAAGTGATACCTGTATCTTATATTCCATACTAAACATATTTTATTTTTAAACCTGAAGTCGTGCGTTCAAATAATGGTTTACCTTCTCTATGTACGTAAGCCGTACGAGCGAGAGCACATACGTAAGGAGAACATCGTAACGAAATGGGTATAAGACTCAAAAATAGACACTTTGGCTGATCATTTACTTGCCTATTAAGAAAATTTCTCATGAATCAGATATAGACATTCAAGGCTGGATCTAGAGATTTTTACCTTTTTCTTTTATTAGGAGACACTTAAGCACAATAATACACTCTAAACATTAGACTTATTAGACTATTTGAAATATTAACCCAAATAATAAACAAAAAATAGGTTAATTTAGCTTAATTAACTTTTTGAAGTTACCATACATTTTCAATTTTTATAAGACCATCAGCGTTGCTGACATAGGAAATTAGTTTGTTGGCGTCAGTTGTTTAATTTCCACATTAGAGTCAACTTTGTAATGTATCTTCTTGATTCGACCGCTCAATCAAACCGTGGGCCGTACTTAACAGTTAACAGTGCCTATATTTATGCCGATTCCCGACAAAAAAGCCGATCAATGAGTTATTATAACACAAAAATACAATGTTATCACATTCAAAAGCGTTTATCACATTTTTTTAACAAGTTTAATTGTAATAATAGTTGCTTTAAACTGGTGAAACTGTAGTCGTTTTTAAATGTGTGTTTGATGCTCTTACATGTTTGTAAAAATATTATTAATTCTACAAATTTAATGTTAATTTTAGATAATATTTACAATTACTTATTACCTTTTTCAGCCTCCTCGTGATCTGGTGCGTAAAATAATCCGCATTATGCGCAATCAATTCCCCAACAGTCGTATTCCCACACGCAGATTTTATCTCATTAATCGCTTTCACACCGGACAGATGCAACATCTCATATCTGCTGCCTGAAATTGATTTTCATATACAAAAAAAAAACGAATGAATCGAATTTTTTTCGAGGAAGATCAAAGATACACATTAAATTATAATTAATTAATAATTAAAATTACGAACAATAAATTAAAATTACGTAATAACCCGGACCTCTTTAACGCAATTTCATATTAGGCGATTTTAGTATCTCGTATAACACGGGTATTCCCCCATATAACGTAGGGATTTTCCAATATAACGTAGGGATTTTCCAATAGGGATTTTCCAATATAACGTAGGGATTTTCCAATATAACGTAGGGATTTTCCAATATAACGTAGGGATTTTCCAATATAACGTAGGGATTTTCCAATATAACGTAGGGATTTTCCAATATAACGTAGGGATTTCACATGTTATATTTCTGTCCTGGGAAATTTATAATGATTTGTGCGTACATAACATTTGTTTTATCTTAATACTCGATATAAATCCCCTTTAACGAGAAAAGTAAAACATGAATCATTTGTCCATAACGAGTTACATGGGGTCAAACATGCGCAATGTGCGTTTCCTATAACGCGGAACCAATCTACCGTGTTATATGTATACATGATTTTCCATTTGATCATATATTACTTGTAGAAATAAGTGTGTGCTTAAATAAATATTTATTGACTTATGTATTGCGTCAAGTCAAGCTTCACCGATTCTCACTATCATATATTTTTAGACCTATTTCATGGCTATTTATTTGTTTATACATAGGATCCCTAATAGACTGTCAACCACGCGATCAGGTAGGTCGGTGAGCGAGAAGCAGCAGGGGAGTGTCAAATCTCCCCTTACCTAAAATTTGTAGTAGATATTAAGTTAAAAGGCTTTTATATGTAGGAAAATTTTAATGTTATACGGTTAGTCCTAGCCTACGCCTAAAAAGGGCGTATACGATGTATAACATTAATCAACGAATTAAATAGGTTAACGGATTTCTTCTTCTGTTTATTTGTTAATGTTTTCATTTGTGAATATTGTCAATGATATATTATAATATAAAGTAATAATAATAAGTCGTTATTCCTTATATTCATTCTTATGATTTGCATTCTTATTGAATTAGGGTCACATGTTTGACTGATTGAGATTTTGTAAATAAATAAAATGAAAGAAATTCATTTCAAAATTAATTTTCGACATAAAATAATAATTTTCGGGACTTAACTTAAGTACTTATACATGCATTTTGGGTTGTTTTTCATTAAAAAAATTCTTGCAAGGCTAAGCAAAGTCTGTATAAAGTAGTAGCAATTTACATGTAAAATTTTTAACATATTAACAAATATATTAAACTATAACACTATTTTCTTACCAACTCTTTCGAGCACCAAGCACAAAGTCTTCAATAAGTAGGGCTGGAAGTCTTTTCCTAATCGCCGGGCCATCAACCCGAGACCTTCAGTGAGGAGGCAGCACTGCACCATGTTGTGCTGAGCCTGGCGTAGGGTTCGACATCCGGTTGGAACCATTTGAGTACGGGGGGTCAAATAGCTTATGTCTGTATAACGGGTCTCTGTGGCGCCTTCGAAGAGACCTATCGTAGTTAAACTCGTTAAAGTTTTACAGTTATTTTATAGGTTATAAATAACAAAACATGCTTCATGCTAAATTATAAAAAATCATAAAACTCCAGTATTATGGTACTTCCCATATACTTAAAAAAAGTGCGTGCGTACAAAGTACACATGTCAGAAGTGAATCTTCTTTGGCAAACTAATTTTTAAGTCTTTTATCATATTTATTTATAAAACTTTATATTTCCGAGACTTAGAGGGAACAAAGGAAGATATATTAAAAATTTAATGAATTTAATTGTCGTTAAAATATTAGGTGTCGAAAATTAATACAAAATATATATATATTTTTTTTTAATTTATTTCTTCGATAATAAAAACATGTGGTATTCTAATTTACAATTCGTCATTTGAAATTTCAATAAATTATTTTGCATAAAATATAAAATACTAATATTTCATAAATTCTCTGTACGGAATTTTAATAATAAATTTCTATATCACTCTCTCTCAATCGGTCTCAATCGCTCTCTCCCTTTTCTTCGATAAAAACGCTGCACATTTTCTTGACCCTAATATTATTATTATTGCGTTTCATCCGTAAAAATTTTACCCTCATGCGCCTAAAGAAGTTTCACGTAACATAACACTTTTGTATGGAAATTTGAACAGCGCTCCGTGGCCGTAATTGGAACTAGTTACTCGTACTAATTATATGGGAAATCAATACGCGCGAACTGTCAGACTAGTTAGCAAGTATACTTACCAGGTACATTATCCTTATCCCAGGCCCGAGGGTTGTAAACAGATATATCTAGGGTCTCTTCATCCGTGATTGGTGCTTCACTAGCGACTTCTAGCGGTAAATACCAAATATCCTCCTCAATGTACGCGTCTATCACGCGTTTGGCCAACGAGTCGGTCGATTTGGGAGCTGAAATACAGATACTAGTAAGAAAAGAAGAAAATTTTTTGGTTTAGGTACACATTTAAATAAAATTTCCTATAGTTATTATTATAATAGATAATAAATTCGTGTTATTTATTAAAGTTTTATTTAAGGTCAAAGTAAGTCAGTGTAATCATTGTGTGAATTTGGTTAAACGATCAACAAAATATTTTGTTCATTTTCGATGGATTACTAACACCATTATATAGATCTGTAGTTAAAAAATAGTCAGATGTTTTTTTTTATATGATTGAAGGGCGAGGTTTACAGAAAAGCCATAAAAGGCAGCCACCGCAGCTGATGGACACACATATTAGTGGGTGCGTTGCCGGGCTTTAAGAGAGGAGTATGCTCTTTTTCGAGGTCCTATCTCCCATTTACTGGAAGCCGATTCCACAGCTCGTTAGTTTGCAAAAGAAAATGCATAAAGAAGCGGACTGTGGAAGATTTCCAGCCATTGAGGTTGTGCGATTAAACCCTGGAATTATTTCAGATCGTCCGATATTCCAAAACGGCAGCAGGGATCAGCATAAAGTTCTTCAGACAATTTTGTAAAATTATTTTCATTAATGATACCTATATCGCATATCTTTATTAAAAAAATGATATGTATGAAACAAAGAATAATATGAAATTCTCTTACCCGAAGCCATTAAATTCATTAGAAACAGAAGCTCACAGTCCCTTCTCTCCCTGAAGGTGTCCAGGAGTGTATCCAGGATGAGCTGTCCACATTCAGTCTCACCGAGGAGAAGGCAGATCCTTTGGAACTTGGTGATACATTCTTTGTTGTCCAGGTGACGAAATTTGCACCAGGGGGAGTCTATTGGAGGCGTAGCTGTCACATCTGTAAATTCACAAATACAATTTTATCTGGTTAAAGCGCGTGTTATTATTATAAAACAATAGTTCATGTTCAGAGCTTTACGCTGGCCATATAATACAATGGACAGATTCCAAAATGAGGAAGGGATTGGTACTCAGCGGGGAGGGAGTGGCGCGCGGTCGGCAGCAACCACTTGTAGCAGTCCGTGTATGGTGAGTCCGGCAGCTCTAATGTAGGCCATACACACTACGGTCTACCGGAGAGGTCCATCTGTGCAGGTATGCCTGCGCAGGTAGACCGGAATGTGTGTGTGGAACATCTCTCTGCACACACAGCTCTAGAGCAGTCGGTCTCGACTGCAACATGCGGTCCGTCTGTGGCGACATTTACATCTTTCTTTATCTCTAAATAAATTTGTAGGTACATTACGCTGATTTTTATTACGTGTATGTGGCTTTCGAAATTAAAAAAAAGGTTTTGACTAGAACTTAAAGCCAAAACGCGTCATTAACATTAATAACATAACATTTATTTCACATAAAATAAACAATGTTAAGAAGACTTAAAGACTTTTTGATTTTGATTTATGGCCTTTTTAAGAGTGGCTATATCAAATACCATAAAATTTGAATTTACACAAAGTTACCCTCGTTTTCAGACTGTTTCAGAGCAAATGTAGTCACGTGGTACAGTTGAAACTTGAAAGGCGTTTTCAGGAATGATTATAGTAACGAGTATTTCTAGAGTGGGAAAAGGTCGGAATGATAAGCAAAATAGAGGGAAGATATGCCCTTCTCGAAGACAGACTGAAGATTCTAGAACGCCACGACAACGAGGGAATGATGTGCCGACGAGATAAAGAGAACTTACGTTCCAGAATTGTCTGATCCCAGCTACTCAGAACCCACTCTTGCCCAGAAAGTTTAAATATCGTTCACGATTATTGCCATATATAAGCGGACTGAAGCGTGACCAGTGAATTGAGTAGAGATTAACAAAGTAATAAAAGTGCGAATAGTTAATACAAGTGATCTAGTGTAACTTAACAAGTGCGCGGTAATTGAAGTGAAAGTGTATTGTGCATTTATTAGTGTGGTTTTCCGCGTAACTTGTGTATTTTTTGTGCAATTTAATTGCGCCTTGATTAATTAAAAGTAGACACTTGAAGAGATTTTCGGGTTTCTATCCTATCCCCTAGGCTTAACGTAACATTAAAATTAAATCCCTATTTTGTAGGCAGTTAATGTCGACGCCTTTTAAACCGAGTCGTCGGGAAATAAATGTCACTGACAGTAGTGTCACTGGTAGTAGTGCACGCAATGCAACCCGTTCTCGATACTTATCTACCTGCGCACGCACTCTGACGAGTAAGGGTTATTGTTTTTCTATAAATATAACATTTTTTTATACTTACGCTTCGTTATGCAATACGCACAATGGAGAATTTACTTTCTTTCCAAACCAATAAATTAAATGGTGACATTTATCTTACAAATTAAAAACTTCAGATAATTTTTGAAAATTTTCAGATAGCGAAAAATTATTCCTATTAACATAATTTTGCATATCGATCGTACCTATCCTGTTATCGATATGCACCTCTACAATTCTTACGCACATCACTACACATCTCCAAGAGACCTGTAAGTGCAAGCGAGACAGACAGATAAATATGATTTATGACCCGAAGCCTAAGTTCATAATGCGACTACTATAGTATCTTCCAATGATGCGTAATCAAGAAATGGATTCTATATAAAATAAACTTTATTAACAAAATCTGATGATCAATGAAGACAGTTTCAGTTTGAATATGGCTTGAAGATTGTTCGTAAGTGTGACGTTTAGAGTCAAGAGTGACAATATTGTGGTTAAAAATGGTGCTGTCTCTGCTATGCTTAAAAATCTCTTACCCCTAGCAGCATGACGATTCAGTAGTGCCAAGTCTGTTTGTATAGCCGAAGCAGAGGCGAGAGAGTCACAGAGTTTGCTGTAGCCCTCATTCGAAGACAGAATACTGGTTAGGCGTTGAGAGCTGCCTTCACTTAGCAGTTCTACATAACCTTCCAAGAGGTTTAAAGAGGCCAGTTTACGGGCTGAGTCTGAAAAAAAATATTTGTATTATTATTATTATTAAGAAAATATAGTTTTCGCTGAGGGCAAACCTAAAACCCAACTTCTTATAAGTAGGAAATTGCACAAATTAAGCTGCTAGGCAACTGAAGTCCTAAAAATGGCGGATTATTTTAATTCTCCCCAAAGATGGCACTCTACATTTGATTCTATTAGAATATGATATTATTATAAAAAAACCAATCACAATCAAGTGGTGCGAATATTATCTGCGAATTAAAATTCGAACTATTAAAAGAAAGAATACTTTTCGCGCGTTTTTATTTTTATACTTGGCAATATTTTTGGTTTGTGGATAATTTGTTGACAGCCAGTAATATTTTTATACAATGATCGTAAATGTTTTTGGTTATGGAAACATTCCAAATTCAAACCACTTTTAATATCTATGGATCAGAAAGCCCTTTTTACTGGAAACCAATGAGCATTTTTTGAAAAGGCGTAAAAAATTACTTACCAATATTATTAAGTATCCTGGGCAAAGATCCGAGCACCATAAACAGATTCCTTGTGAGGCTGTCCATAGCATTAAGGACAGAGTTCGGTGATGCGTTGCGGAAATACTGCGCACGTGCATGTGAACAGTAATTCGCCACTTGAGTATATGAATCACTCGATAAAGAGATCAAAATATCGAGACACATTGATATTGATGGCTGCATTGTGCTGAAATTATTTTATTTTTATTAATTCATGAAACGTATTAAAGCAATATAAACATGCAAATTTGAGCTTGATTAAGTATTTCATTTACTTTAAAAAAATATTATTACAATTGTCAAGTGCCAGTTGTGTTAATACAATTTAATATAATGCAACAATGGTAAAACACTATTTTACGTATTTCTTTTAATTATTAACAATTTGTTGCATTTTCAGATAAAATGAATTAAGGAGGTAACGGGCGGCCTTATGTAACTTTATATATAAAATAGCCTTAGGGAGCGTTCAAGTATTACGTCACGCAATTTTTGGAGATTATTGACCCCCCCCCCCCCATGTAACGTTTTACAAAAGGACCCCCAAATTCGTAACGTTTCTTGAACCCCTTAGCTACAAGTAGTAATATCTGCGAACCTGGCTTAATGACGTCATACAAACTGGAGTGACGCAAAAAATTGAAGATGTAAACCCAAAAAAATTTTACCATATATAACGGCGCAGTGAAAGTAGCCGTGTTTTTTTCAATTTCAAAGAATAGGATTAACTTAGCACTAAATTCCCGCTCCGCACTATGTATAGTCCTACCATTTACATACAGCACTAAATGGTAGTTTACGTAATACTTCACCAAACAAGAAACAATAAACACAATAACGAAAGCAAGAATAATACACGTGCGTCGGCGATTGCGTTGGCAACGGTACTGGATAGGCGAAAACGGGGCGGGGCGGACGATTCCAGCGAGGTTCGCAGATATTTCCGACGGCTTGTAACAAGCTATCTCATCCAGGCAACCCTAGTAAGGAAAAAGAAATACTAAGGCTAAGGTTATAGATGCCAATGTAGACTTTACAATTAGAAAACTAAAATAAAAAGTAAAAGTAAAAGCTTGTCTTTAGAGTCACGTATCACAAAAAAATACGTAAAAATAACATACATAATATTTACAATTACAAAAGAATTAATAAATTATTTATACATTTATAACTGATAAAAAATTTAAAAAAAGCTAATTTGGATCAGCTATATATATTTTTTTATGTATGAGATAATACTTCCAAAACTATTTAATCTACCTTCGCTCCGCGTATTTAGAATTAAAAAATGGTACCAAAAATTATTTGCGAACAAAATTTGTATGGTATATAAAAGTATCTATACACACAAGCTCTCAAGCTGGCTTATTTAAAGCATACGAAAACGGCCCTGTATAAACATACCTATTGCACTCAGAGAGCACCCTGTAGCACAATACAGAGAGCTCTTTTCTGACTTTATAATGCTCGTGTGCGCCCAATCGCACCAAACTGCGCATAACAGCTTCCAACTTCTCACCCGCCATTTCGAACCATTCCTTGCTAAGTTTTGGAAGCTGTGATGTTTTAGCTATAAAGGAAGTTAATAATTATTGTTACTTAAATATATAGAATAAGGAAGGAATTATTTAGAAGGCGTGTTAACTGGATATTATGATTTACTTTTTCATAGAAGAGGGTAGAGCTTACTAATCTCATTATTGTATTTAGTACACAACAACTCTGTTGTAAATACTAATTTAAAACTACTTTTTTATAGTTATAACAGTACATACTACCATAAAGATGTTTAAAAAAAATTAAATTTAACAATTTTTAGGAAATAACTTTAAATAAATATATACAAAAGGTTTTAAAAAAGAACAAACTTGTTACTCAGAAGATATGTTGAAAAGTTTAAGGAAGATACATTTTTAATTCTATACAACACATCCATGCAACACCTATAATATGATATACCTCAATTACCCTTGCTTACATAATTAGCACTTTCCTTCTCCTTGATCACTTTCATGATATCGGCAACTGTTACCGTTGAGCTGGTTTTCAAATGCTTGTCATTCATTGTCATACACATTATCCGGTGTGTAGCATTTAAAGCCATCTGAAATATTTATAAAGATCCTTATAAAAATACAAAATTTGTGGCCAATTGTGCATCTCTCAAAACTGAGTTGCATTCCAACTCTAGCTCATAAAATGAAAATAACTTAAGGAAAGCGGCATGTCTTGAGTAAAAAATCAATAGCTTATCGCTTGCTTTTAAACATACAGAGTAATAAATCTAATATATAAAATTCCCGTGTCACAATGTTCGTTCCAATACTCCTCAGAAACGGCTCAACGAATTCTTATGAAATACTAATTCATATTCAGTATGTCTGAGAATCGGCTACTATCTTTCAAACCCTAAATGTTAAGGGTGGTCGACCCCTAATTTTTATTTTTTAGAAATTTTTTTTTGTTTTAATTTTTTTATGATACAGCATACAAAATACATACAACCCTTAATTTTCATCTACCCTCTACGATCAACCCGTATTTTTTATTTGTTAGTTAAGAACTTATAACTTGAGGTGTATATAGAGAAAAATCACAGCAAAGCCTAAAAAGTTTTCATTCCAGAAAACCGAACAGTCTCTGGAGTAGCATAGCCGAAAGTTCTATTTTGGTATGAACTAAAAAGTTTGGCTAGGCCTTAAGGAGAAACGAAGTTCGCGGGGGCAGCTAGTTATACTATATAAATCACTAAGAGTATGTTAGTTTTAGAAGAGAATGGCTGTGAATTAAATTCTGAAAAATTATGACTTTTAACTTTTTAATTGCTACGTCCAGTTATAATTGGTATTTAAAACTAAGTAAGTGTAAGTACAACTAAGATGTCAGAAATCCACAAAAAAAAATACCTTACCACAATTACTGCATGGCCAGGATTATTAGGACACATTGCCACATCTTGTAAAGTTGCCAGAACACCAGGCAAAATACAGCATAGCATTTGTACTACGGCTTCTTCGAGTACTGGGTCAGTAATCATGCAGGTTGCATCTGTGAGTTTTGAGTGCATACTTGTGTGTGCTAAAAGGCTTTCTAAAGCAGCAAGCCTGAAAGTCACATTTTATAGGTTGCAGTTGTATATATTGGTTATATTTGCCTTCATCTATGGCCTTATTCATAAACATACAAAAGTCCTAAAATACCTAATTAAAAATTAATTTAATTTGATTTAACAAATATTTTTATGTAGAAGATTGAACAAATTATATCTAAACACACACTAGTTCATACGCTAAAACGCAATTTAGAATTCTTATAAGGAAGAAATCTATGAAATTTGTTATTAAAACTTACCTAAGTATTCTGAACTTTTCTAGTTTGGCCATGTGCACGGATACGAATATCGCTTGAGCTAACAGAGGGGCATGACTTTTGATCAGTCTCAATCTTAGTGGTGTTTCTATATTCAACATGAGAGAGGTCATACACTGTATTGCAGTTAGTTTCATTTCTTCCGGAATTTCAGCAACTGTAAAAAATAAAATGTAACAATTTCAATATATTGATGAATAAGCGAGTCAGATTATCTTATTATTCATGGCATTGGGATTATTAATTTGATTTTTGAATTTGCTAACACAACATGTATTTGAATTAATATTTCGGAAAATTTTATTTGATTTTCTTTAATCTTTTTTACATGTTTTCTTACAAACATAAAAATGCATTGCTCGGTCACAAAATTTGATTATAAAGACTAAGTAATACTCACTCATGCCTGGTTTATTTTTATCAAATGCTAAAACAGCTAAAGTCATCTCAATCTTAATGCACAGTTCAAAGCTCACAACATTTATTTTATCTAAAATCACCTTCATGGCAATAAGCAAAAATCTTTGAACTTCATGTCGTCCTCTGTAATAGACCATGTTTAAATATATAATATATTGTATGTATATTTTAGAAAAAAAATCCTATAAAATGTTATAAATGAATATTCATGTATTAAGATGTATACAATATCATTGATTATGTATCTAAGTAACTTTTTTTATTACACTCTTATGATAATATAAGATTCTTTTTTCAAGATCATTTTATTAACAGAAAATCTACAACAAACAAGAAAATCAAAACCATTATAATGGAGGTCTTTTGTGTGTTTTTAATTGATACCAACAATACATACTCCATTTCCTTTGACTGTAAATGTGAAATTATGGGGAACAGCAAATACTGTTGTAAATCTTGCAAGTACTCCCTTTTCAGGTCATTTATCAGTTCTAAGTAATCTTTGATGTTCTCTGGTGTAGGATTTATCATCAACTTATCGCATACTGGTTTCATCTGAGTAAAAGCTGCTTTTAACTTTGGATTCATTGTAATGGGTAGGTAATTCAAACGATTGAACTAATAAAATAATTTCTCGCATTCATGTGGTTTTCGCAAGGTACCAAAAGCAACTTGCATTATAAATTACTTTTTCTTATAATTACTGTGAACCCAAGATTCAAGTTCCAACTTCGATCACTAATCCGAAACTTGTTTATTATTCATTACTATTTCATTTTTAACTTCAATACCCTTCAATAATTATTAATTTATTTCTCACACAAAAGCGAAAAACCAATTAATGTACACCGCCAGGCCGCGCCTGCGCACTGTTGACGTGATGTTAATTGTCAGTTATCAATTTGACTATTAATAAACCGTCCAAATCAGCTGCTTGGAATTTGATTTACGAAAATGAAATGTCGGAGATTTACCAATAATTGTGATGGTGAAAAACAATTGTTGTGAAGTAATGATGTAATAATTACAGTTACAATATTAAAATATGTATTTATGTATACTCTTCTAAAGAGAAAGTCTGCAAGAATGTTTTCCGTAGGAAGGCTCCGTGTTCTTCACAAATGTCTCAAGATATTGAGGTTATCTTGTAAAGATTATAGTAGCCTCCCAGACTTGAAAAATTTGAATGTCGTTAGGACGGTGGAAAAGGTTATTGATACGAATACAAGTATATTTATTGATAGTCCAATACACGTCAAAGTTCTTCCTATAGATGTCAACGACTTAAAAGCTCACAATAAGTTAACTATGACTTTGTATAGTAAGGGTCAGGATACTAATGATTTCCAAGTTAAACAAACTTCGAAAAGGTTAGAGCTACTTAATAAAAACAAGACACCAGACCGAAATGATGTTTGCCTTGTGCATGTTCCTTATAAGCTGAAAGTTCAAGTTTCGACCAGTGAAGAAGCCTCAGTGCATTTAAGTAAATTAGAGGCTGAAGAATTTATTGTGAAGACACAGAAAGGTACAATTAACATTGCAGACTTGAAGGCGGACAATATAAAAGTTGAAAGTGCTTCTGGTAATATTGAGGCAGAGGGAAGATTACAATCTTCAAATATTGAAATGACCTCAGGATTGAATGGATCAATTAAATGTAATAGCATAATGGCTAACGCTTTTCATGTTACAACACATGCTGGTCCAATATCTGTTAACTCATGTTACAGTGACAGTTCCCACTTCATAACTCTAATGGGAAATATAAGTTTGAAACACTTGCACAGAACAGTCAAGATAGAAATAATACAAAAAGGAAACCTACATATACAAGGATTTTCTGGAAATCTTGAAGCTACCCTTAAGAGTGGTGATGTTTTCATGCATGCTACAGAGTTTACTCACAAAAGTAGTATATTTATTCACGAGAAAGGCAAAGTTGAACTATTAGTACATGAAATTGAGAAAAATTTGCCAAAAACCAATCTAATAGCAGACAAAATAAAAGTTGATGAAAAAATATTGAAGAAAGGAAGATTTATGGATGACTCTCATCCCATGAGATTTAGGTATGAAAAGGATCGTAAAAATGAGCTTCATATAGTGTGCAAGAATGGCTCAATAGATCTAAAAGAAACAGACTTACCATTCATTGTGTAACTGCATTTTTCTCTGTCTTAATTGTACATTTTTATTTATTTTTAGTGTAATGTATACAATTTATTGATTAAATATGTATATAATTTGCATGAAACTTTCATTGTAAAATGCTGCCAATTTTTTAACATAGCCATAGTTATTCTAACAAGTGGTAAGAGGCAACTACTATTTTATACTTTTTAAATAATGCAGTAATTTTTAATTAGGTATTAGTAACATTGTCTTCCATGAAGATTTTGACAAAGGCGGGTTGACGGCTGTGTTATTCCTGCATATAATTTTAATTTATTTAAGATTTGTATAACTAGATTCAGTATATTACTGGTAGAAAAATAAGTCAAGTAGTTCATGATAAAGTTATTACTGGTTGTAGTTGAAAACTAGGTGTATTAAGTAGAACCTATTTTACATAATAAAAATTATATGATACCTGTTGACTGAGGCTTTGCTTATTTGTTAGTTATAGAATCCTATGTTTAGTAGTAGTACCTAAAATTTACATAAGTAATGGAAAATTTTACAATTTTTGTCCCAATAATTAATTATTATTTTAATATTTTTTAATTTAATTAATTACTTAGGACATGTAGTGTTACAAATAGATGATATGTAAACAATACCTCTGTATCGCTTCGATTTATAAATTACTTTTCCGTTTTTTTTTACATTACATATAACATATGAACTAGCAAAAAAGAACAGCCTTTATAAAAACTTCTGATAGGTGACGTATGAAGGATAGCAGGCCATAATCTACCACACTGGTGTACCTTTTACTAAATCTGTGATACTGGCCTGAATGATACTTTGTTTTATAATATGCCGGTAAACTGCTCACATATAAAATCCATTTGTAGAAAGATTGGTTCACATGAGTATGAATGATGAGATGAGTATGAGAGAGAATGAGTTTTCAAATGACAGATGTTCGAAATAGCGACAATTTTTTTTTAAATTGAATTTAAAAGAAAATCTGTTAAAAAATTAAAATCAGTTTAGTCTTTCAGTTCACGGTTTTGCGTAACAAGTTGTAACAGTACATACTAACCCTTAGAGTTGAAAGTAACTTAGGTATACTGAGGTTCTTTATCCAGACACAATTGTAAAATATAAAAATCGATATATTTAAATCTTGTAAACTTAAAAAGCCTAAACTTTAATGAATTCAATTAGTTTAATTTAAGTAAATCAGTTTTTTATTTGAATAAGTTTCATCATTATACTTAAGTGATAAAGAGTTAAAAAACTAATAATAATAATTTTCTAATGCTCCATTATCCATATTAACTAATTGCGGAATTTTTTTTATTTATTTTTAAGTAGGTAACAGTTAATTGGGTACAAAGATGATTCCAGCAAGCATAGTATAAAGATAACGACGCCGTTTATATGCAGTGAGCGATAAAGCGCGCGTCAGTTAGTACCCGTCGTTCGCCATGCCGGCCTGTGCGCCTGAGTACCGCTTTGTACGTTCTAATACTGATCTCTTTTCGCCAAGACCTAAGCGATGTCCCCACCAACCACCTTACACTCTACGGCGATCCTTCTCTTCTTCATTCTCTCTTATACCTGAGGAACAAGCCGTGCCGCCGGAACACCCATCGCCATTATGGAAATTCATACGGATGCTCACATGGTTACCACGTCAATTTCTTCGACCGTTGTTTGCGATACTTAACATTATCGCACATCCAGCTTGGAAGCAAATACTGTTGGTGCTACCGACTCTGTGGATTGCCGCATCGTTGTTCATATTTTGGAAGTGTATCCAGTGCCCACTTGGATTATTGAAGATGGTCGGGAGTGCCTTATCAAGCAGCCCCAACAAGCAGAAAACAGTATTAATTAGTGGTGGAAGTTCTATTCAAGCATTACATCTCGCACGGAACTTTCACTCCGCCGGTGCCAAAGTGATAGCCTTTGAAATTGAGGGCCAGTTCCCTTTGCTAAAATATTCGGCTGCTGTTAGTAAGTTTTATACTGTACCTCGACCAAATTCTGGTGATCCCTTGGCGTACACCCGAGCCTTAAAGGAAATTGTTCAGAAAGAGTCGATTGTATTTTATATACCCGTCAGTTCTTCGACGCCTGCTTACTTCGATGCTTTAGCGAAACCTCATCTTGAAGTGATTGGGTGTCAGTGTTTTGTGCCGTATGCTCGTGACGTTGTCGCTTTAGATGATCCACTGGAACTAATCCGCGTGTGTCGCGTAGCAGGTTTGCCAATACCGCAATTTTGGGTTGTTGCCAGCGAGGATGATGTTAGATCTTGGTACGAGACTCGTGCCATAAAGGGCAAAAAATATTATATTGTAAGTGCCGGTGCAAGAGGGGCAAGAGACCGTATGAGATTTGTATTGCCGGAAAATGTAACGCATTTTAGATTCCATCGTGAAATCAGTGCAGAAAAGCCTTGGGTCATCATAAGAGAACCAAAGGGAGAAAAGCTAATGACCTGTACTACATTGAAAGAATCGCGGGCAGTTAATAATGTTACTTGCCGATTAGAGTCCGATAGAAAAGGTCTAATACCGCAAAAGGATGAAGATACAGATGCATGGGTACAGAAATTCGTTTCGTGTCTTACCGCCGCGCGCCCAATGACTGGTCACATATCCTTCAGGTTGGTGAAAGATGAAAATCCTGAAAACGGTAAAAAGAAAATAGTGGCAATTGGTGCACGCGTTGGTGTGTCTTTACCTTATTTGTGCCAAGGATCCAAAGGATGTGCTCATGGTGCAACTGTAGGAAAGCTTTTGAATACTGTGCTCGACACCCGCGAAGCCCTTTTTGCGTATTGGGATCCCCTACCATACTGCGCGTACTTCCAGTCCCGTTCACCGGACGATCGCCGCCCGCCAACGCCGGAGCCCTGCAAGACTCCACCACATGCACCCAACTGAGTATTGAAAGGCTGGTGTAATACACTTTGTACCTGAGGAGCGTGTGAATGTACTGATTAATATAGTACACACCTTTCAATATCACGCTCTCTGTTTCTCGTTGGCCTCTTGTCCGGACGAATATATATCAGTGGTTCCGCGAACTGAGGACGACGCCATTGTAGCTACTACGTAGATGAATATTATTGTTAAAGTCCTTTAAGAACTTGCCATTTTAATATTAAGTTTAGATGTTAAGACTTCGAATATTATTATAAATGTTTATTTAAATGTACCTACTAAGGTAAACTTCGAAAAATATATAATTTATTAAATTAAATATTTGTTTCACTCCTTGAAAAATACTGGCCCTAACATCTCAACGTTAAATTATTGATAAATTTGTTTGTAACAAAATTCTGTGTCATTAATTTAATAATAAATACCTATGAAGCTTATCTGAGTTGGTCGGTAGGTAGGTACTTATTTACTTAATCGATAATATCGATTAAAGCTTAAGAAAACAAGTCAAGAGTTAACGATAATATTTGCATGACTAGTCCAAAAGTCAATCGGGCATTATTACCTTATAATACTTAATACTTCTGCCTACTTTAAGACAAATAATTTATGTGAAATGCACAAAAAGTGAAATTGATAATTTAGGTTATTTCTTGCATTGATCCCTAGATAACATATTTAACCAAATTGTACCTATAATAATTCTAAAACGATTTGATATAATACTGATAAATTAAAAATCATTATTTTTTAAATATATTTTTCCTGACCACACCTTTGAGTCAGGTCCTTGACGAATGAACACCATTCGAAACCTTTATATACAATATATTTAAAAAGGCATTGAATGTTGCAACAGCAAAAAAGCGACTGCATTACAGATGTACTTAAATTAAATGCATAAATGTAGTGGTGCAGGTACATACGTATAATAAATAAACGCTAGGTCAACACAAGGTATCGCGTTAAATGTAACACACGGCCATAATAACTGGCTTCATTAAAAGTTACCGATTACTTAAACCATTTAGTAATGTTAAATAAGTTCATCGCTATCCAAGTAATCATCCATTCCTTATTATTATTTTGCATTAAATTTAGCCGCATCCTTTACATAAATAATAATCATAAATATAATAATAATTTACTTAAATCTACAATTAGAGATTACTTAATGGACGACTATGGGAACAGCTGTAATCTTAAAGACGTTAACGGATGTGAGTATCTCGAAACGAAGTGAATAATGGTAAAGTTCAAACTATGTATTCAATAATATTAATTAGTAAAAACCATTTATTAATATAGAAATAGAAAGTTGATTTTGATATGTTAAGTGTTGTATATGTATGAGCTATCAATAGCGAGGGACATTAACGTTTATCAAGGTTCAGGTCACAGAACAAAGATCGACTTTCTGTTTGTGATTTAAATTCTAGAAAAATTCTATGCTGAAATGATTTATACATATGGATAAATCATAATCAATCAATCATCAGAATAGATAGTACGTAACTATCTAGCTAGTATCGCTGCACTTTCAATAATGACAGGTCAAAGACATCCATAAACGACGAGGGCGTATGGAATATTTCAAAAGTGCACGAAGTATTGAGACTTTGAGAATGTTGATATCGTAGTAAGTGGAGGCGGGATCTGTCTGTCTTCGAGAAAAAACATTATAATCAATATCAGCTTTCAGGTCAGGCTTGAATTTACCTTCTAACGTAAATTTTCAAAGGAGCTGGAAAATTCGAATTCGACAACTTATTAGGTCACATATCAATTACAAACCACGCAAGGCTGCTAGCAGTAACGCGGGCCATTGACTTCATGCTCAACCATCGCAAAACTTGGCACTCTTTTGGACACTGAATCTCTTGGGATTGCCATCACTCTGGAGTGCCCATATGTTTTCCAAGTGTCCCTGCGGCATTAAAGTAGCCTTGGGCACCATGGCCATTTCCAAAAGAGTGCAAGACCGCTTTTCTCGCCACGCTGCGCTCAACATCATACGCCGCTCTCTTGTCTTCGTCAATATTCCAGCCATTTTAAAGCCGAAAGGCATCGCTAGGGACGATGAGAAGCGGATGAAATATCTTGGATCCCTTGGAGGACAGGACGGGGTTTAGTATGGATTGCCACTTGTGTGGACATATAAGCCCCGTCCTACCTCCCTCGAACAAGGACAAAACAAAAGGACAAAAGCTGTCGCGGCTGCAGAGCAGGCGGAAAATAACAAACGGCAAAAATATAAGATTTCATATTTTTGCCGTTTGTTTCTGTTCCTTATACTCGAGGGCCGTGGGGTTCAAGTGCACAGGCACGAATTTAGTTGAAAAAAATAAAGAGCTTATTTTTAATTCATTATTAAATAGCTTTTTTACTATCCTAAACATGCTATCTAAAATATGCGAAACCCTATTAGGATTTCACGAATTCACCGATTTCTATTGATTTCGGTTACAAATATTATTAGGCTAAAGAGTTTGTTTGGTTGCGCCAACCCTCCCTGGGTTTAAATATAAAAAATATTATTGTGTTTTTTTTCCATTAAATCAAGGAAGGCGAGCAGTGTTGGCCTAGTGGCTTCAGCGCGAGACTCTCATCCCTTAGGTCGTAGGTTCCATCCCCGGTTGTGCACCAATGGTATTTATTTCTATGTGCGCATTTAACATTAGCTCGAACGGTGAAGGAAAACATCGTGAGGAAATCGACATGTCTTAGACCCAAAAAGTCGACGGTGTGTGTCAGGCACAGGAGGCTGATGAACCTACTTGCCTATTGGATTTAAAAATGATCATGACACAGATTCAGAAATCTGAGGCCCAGACCTAAAGAGGTTGTAGCGCCACTGATTTATTTTTTTAAATCAAGGAAGGCCTTAGGTTAGTTGAAACGACGATGTACAATTTCTATAAAAACAGAATCTTTATTCCATTAACCTCGGCCATCAGCGCGTTATGCATAGGCTTCCTAACGATAAACAAACCGTTTACCTATAAACATTATTATGTAGATAGGTTTTCATATCGAACGGATAATATGTGCATCCTTTAATATCGATTTAACAGACACGCACAATGTTTATGAAGCTCACTCACGAAATCGAAACACGGAAGCTTTTTGCAAGTTTTATATTTAAGCTCGTAAATTCGACTTCGCGTTTTTTACATGTTAGTATATTAAGCATTAGCTACGTCCTGTTGCTGTTGTATTATGTATCACTATATCAATGCATAGTAACAATAAAAGGAAAAACATTTTTCTTAACAAAACTTGATAAGGAAGAAATATCCTCTTTGTTTCAAAATGAAACTAAAACCTAAGTTTATTCGTCATAAACGTCGTCTCTGACAATATTAAATACTTAATTTAATAGTATCTCATTCAATAACAATGTATGTTACGTACATATACTTTATATTATTTAATAGGTTATGGAAGATATCACTGTCTGGGAACGTGATACAAGTTGCGTTCAGTCATATAATGTTATAAATGATTTTCTTGGTTAATTAGATTTTCCTACGTCCGGTTTTTATCTTTAACTTTTGACCCCAGCATTGGTTAAATAGACACAGATAAACAAAAATATGACAACAAGTTAGTAAGTTTATGTAACTTTTACTTATTATGGTTTTTTTTTTCGATTTGCCTCCAATTAATTGTGCATCAAAATTATAGTTCAACTCTACCAGATCCTGTATTCTGTTAATAAATTTGCGCAAAGTACCTTCCTTCTACCAATCAGTAGTTGGATGAAGTGAGTTGGATACGAAATCAGCGTGATTTTACTAATAGATTTTTCCAACGACTCTTGACTTGATTAGGTTTAATTATACACTATATATTTCTGTATTGTCTATAATTATCAACTTTATTTTACATAATAAGTTTGGCGCTTCTTGCTCTTCCCCATAGGTACTTCAATATATTTTTACTAATCAGTTTTTGGCCGACCTTTCTTGTTAAAGATAAGGTTGCCGTGCTGTATTAAGGACATTTTTGTTATAACAATACTTAGTTAAACCTAAACGTTTGTGAGTATTTCCAGCGTAGTACAAAGGCCTTATTTGGTATATATTAGGTCCTTACATATGAAATTGGCGTATTTCGTACTGCCCACTTTAATCACGATGTTCTCCTCTTTGGTAAGGAATTCCAAATTCAAATTTGTACAGCTATTTGCTCATGTATTTGTGCTTCGATGACCGTCATTCATTGTTTTTTTTCTGTTTGCGTCACTCATTTTACAAAATGGAAAACTTAAAGTATCGCATTATTTACGAGTACGAGTTCCGCCGTGGAATTAGTGCTGCGGAAACGACTCGAAGGGTGAATGATGTGTATGGCGGTCATGTTGCAAAATAAAACACAGTTCGTTTTTGGTTCCAACGTTTTCGTTCTGGAAATTTCGACCTGCAGAACAAGCCCCGTGGACGGCCTGAGACCCAAGTTGATAATGAAGTATTGAAGGCTATTGTGGAAGCGGATCCATCGCAAACCACGTCCGAGTTAGCTGCAGGCTGCGGTGTTAGTGATAAAACTGTTTTAATTCACTTGAAGCAAATTGGGAAGATTAAAAAGCTTGAAAGATGGGTACCTCACGAATTGACTGAAGCAAACCGGCAAAGGCGCGTCGACTGCTGCGTTACATTACTGAACCGGCACAATAATGAAAGTATTTTAAACCGAATCATTACCTGTGATGAAAAATGGATTCTTTACGATAATCGGAAGCGCTCAGCGCAATGGTTGGATCCTGGCCAGCCAGCCAAATCCTGCCCCAAGCGAAAATTAACCCCAAAAAGTTACTTGTAAGCGTTTGGTGGACTAGTGCCGGTATTGTTCATTGCAGTTTTCTCAAATCTGGCCAGACTATTACGGCTGATGTCTATTGTCAGCAATTGCAAACCATGATGGAAAAGCTAGCGGCTAAACAACCTAGGCTGGTCAATCGCTCCACGCCACTGCTACTTCACGACAACGCCAGACCACACACTGCACAACAGACGGCTACCAAATTAGAAGAGCTTCAATTGGAATGTCTAAGACATCCTCCGTACTCCCCGGACCTTGCTCCAACAGACTACCATTTTTTTCGAAATTTGGACAACTTCTTGCAAGAGAAAAAATTTAACTCTGATGGGGCAGTCCAACTCGCCTTCACAGATTTTATTGATTCCCGTCCGACTGGTTTTTTTAGTAAAGGGATCAATGAAATACCTATGAGATGGCAAAAAGTGCATAGAAAACAATGGTTCATACTTTGATTAATTAAATATATTATATTTAAAAATATTCGACTTTTTGTTCCTCCCATACAAATCGCCAATTTCATATGTAAGGACCTAATATTATTCATATATTATATTTTTCACATTATTATATAAATTAAGATAAAGGTACCAAAAATAAGTATTTACTTCATTTAAAAAAAATACTACGCATTACCCTAATAGATTAATTGATAATGTTTTTAATTTTTATATCAAAGTCCATCGTCCAAAGCTGGCGATCCGGTAGGTCAGACGGGATGTAGACAAACAATCTTATCTTTGACATTTTGGTCTGTGGGTTTTACAGTTTTCAATATTGTAAATACTTATTCGTACTTATCCTTTTAATAAGTATTTTATTACTATTAGTAGAAATTAGTTAAAAGATCTTATGTACACGATTAACGCACATGAAATTAAACATCAAATATGTAAAAGACTTCCAACTTTTGTAACCACGCGATTCGGATTCTTTATTCAAAATGATTAGAGTATCCGCTATCCGCTATCCGAAAACTGAAATGGATCTAATAAAATGTAAATATTATATAATTTTAAAGGTTAACCTTCACGTGTCGTTTTTTATCGATTATAATCGCCTAAACCAATAGGTTTAGGCATATACGCAGATAGCGCATTATACGATAAATATATCGCGTGTATAATGCACTATCTAAGAAGAACAATTAATTGCATCGCTAGACAATTGTATTATCTATATCCATAATTTAATATGTCTATAACCTCAGTCTCGTGATAGAGAGGTGAATTACACAGATGTTCAAAGTCCGTCCAACTAGACGACACGACCCACATTCGTGACATTTTATTTGTACATATTTAGTTAATAAATCCACTTTAACCAAAAATTTACTAATGACTCCATTATTCAAATAATTACCTAAGCATAGTTTATTGTCAATAAGAACTATTCTGTGGAATATTCTTAAATATGTCTATTTTAATATTTACTTTAAATTAGTAGGTTTAAAGTTGTTTCTGTTTATCTATTCCTAGAGTTGTAATTTGTACTGAACGCCTACAAGTTTACAAGCGTTGTGGATATTCACAGAAATTATTATATTTTGTTTAATTTGGGGCAGAGACTCTTGGGACTTATGGTAGAGGAGCAAAGCCTCTTTTGTAAGACCTAAGCGTTTTCGAAAGTACTTGAGATAACATAACTGGCATTGTATTGTAACTCGTTAGTTTGTGAGGCAGAATTTTTTATTTTTTTCGATGGGTTTTATTTATTTATTTCTAATATTCTAGGAAAACACACGGGCTAATTAAATAAATATTATTTAAAAGCAAATTCTTTCCGCTGATTCTTTTGGAGGGAAAAAAATTATATCGGTTTGATTAGATAAAACATGTTATATAAGTTATATATTTATATAATACGATTTTAGCGTGGTTAAATAAGCCGGTGCTACGCCGTAGTATTATGCTACGAGAGCATATTATGGCGTAGTAATACTAATACTAAATCTAAATCTATGATAATAATTTTTTGTATTCATTTAGTGTACTCCATTCTAGTAGTTTATAGAATGAAGGTTATTATGGAGCATGGTATGGCGACGCAGCAGGGATACTTATTTGTCTATTTATTTGATTTATATTAATATATATGTCTCTACTCTTCGGTTGAAATTTAAAGACAAAGTGAAATACGAAAATAACAGAAGTGGCAACACACTAAAAAAATAAAGTTTAACTGTGCCGGTTACATTGCCCGCGTTTGTTATAGCAGATGGGTCAGTCCGGGAGGTAGCGTTGCATTTTAGCTAGTGTTTTTACTCCGAAAAACAATCGTCAGCTTCATCGTTGGCTATACGTCAGCTGCTCGCATGAACTTACAAAAAATTACGTAAAATAAATTCATAGTACGCCGTTTGAAACTTGACCTCGTGATTGTTTGAAAGACCGTCAGCTAATGCTTTACAGATACAGATTATTCGAGCAGTGCCAATTTCATGTTAGTTTGTAGGCATAGACACATTTAGGAGTAAAAATAAATCCAGTACAGACCAGTAGTAAATTGTATGCTATATCGCGCCCAGACATCGTAGGCCATCATATTATTGATAAATCGTAATTAGATCCGGTTGACATTAATTAGGGAAATAATTCTGTTACAATTATTATTATTATTATTCAATTTGAACTTATGATTTTAAGTTTTTATATAATAGATTATTAGTTTTGGTGTCTACTCATCGTGAAGAAGACAGATTAGTGCTTCGGTTAAAACAATGTAATATGACTAATTTAGATTGTTTTTTACAAAGAAGAAATTGAAAAACGTACACGAACTGAGTTTAATACTTTTTCGTATGTTATTTTAGTTTAGGTCACCTCGATCAATGTTAAAACTGGCAAAAATCATAAACATTTCTATCCTTATGAAATAAACTTTACGATCTTTCCTCATACTTATTAAATGTATATATAGAACTTTTGAAGGCATGTGACCACAAACACCGCGACACTATAGAAAAACTGTTAGTTTAAAGTTTTAAAATAGATCTAGAGGAAATTTCGAAAATAGACATTTTTGTTTCCGGTAGGATAGTTATACCCAATGACCTACTTATAGTAAATTATTTCGCGTGTAACGGTAAAGGGGATTTTAGGATAATAACCAGGACAGCACTATTGTGGTGAAATTACCATTGCTGTCCCTATTTCTCTCTACAGTGATGATAGTGACAAATATATAGCGCATTTTCATATGTGAAAATTTATAGATATTGATGACTTGCAATTTAAGTTGTAACACCTCGATTGGTTTAATCGGATATTTGGAGGCTTTGGAAAAAGACATGCTCCTTATAACCATTTTGCTGCCTTACGTTCCAAAGAAATAATAAAGTGAACACAATTTAAATTAAATAAATGACGTCATTGTTATCGGCTCGATCTAGGAAACCAATAGATGAGGCGGCCATAACTTGGTGGAATCTTAATGAAAATTCAAAAAATGCAAGTCCTAAAAGAGTTGAAACGGCAACGAAATCAACAAATACAGAAAGTGAATTTATTACAAAAATAAAAGCTAATCCAAAAGAAATAGTTCTTCAAAAATGGAGGGAAAGACATTCAAAAGCAAATTACGAACTCGTAAGAAAGGCAGTTATTAATTCGATAAAAGAAAAAATTCAAAATACAAAGCATAGAACTATCGCTTCTAATTTAAGTAACATTAAAGAAGATAATGCAAAAACATTGCCTACTATTATAATAACGAATGCGGATGTCGAGGAGACATCAAATTTGAATATGGACAAAAAGCAGCGAAGGAATTTGGACTCTGTTTTCGATGACTTGAGGGTTGAAGGTTTTGAGGGTGATGGGTTAGACGTCGGTCACGCGAGCAGGTTTCAGATGGAGCTAGGTAGTGAGGTGGCACAGTATAGGCCTTTGGCTCGAGACGCTAGGGCGGGCGCGGCGGAAATACGCGGGCTTCTAGACATGCCGGTAAGTTTTGTTAACTTTGTAACGTTATAATTTTCAGTTTTGTCAGCCATCTATGATTAAAAAATATACGAGTAATATTAAAGTAGTAAATATATATCAACGGGATCGTATACCAAAAGAGAGAGATATATAAATAAGAATGATATTGTTACATTTCTTCCTATTTACTAAACGGTTAAATTGATACTAAGTGTCCTTGTTATTTAAAGAATTCGAAGAGTGTTTATACTTATAAGTAGTTTTCATAATTGCATCTCAATGAAGCCAAAATCCTGGAAATAATTATTATATGTATAGTAAATACAAGAGGCTAGGAACAGGTGCTTATAAACCTATCGGTATTGGTAACACAAATATATAAACAAAATAAATAAATCCACGTCCTAATTACCTATTAATAACTATAACAGTGATCATGTTCTCAAAGAGTGCTATTCATAGATCCACTAAACATTTCCTATTGTACTAATTAACACGTAATTATATTTATCTATGGCCGTGAATGATAGCAAAGGGACTACATGATTCGTCAAATGTATTTTAAAGTAATGATGTCAGAATTGTTTATTTACAATCGACAGAAAGTCCAAGTTAGAGTCGAGGGAGTAATTCCGGTTTCAGATAAAATATTGTGTAAATAAGCAGAATTTGTTTCTTAGTACTTATGATTATTTCTTAACATTAGGTTCGGTACGAGATGGTTTCGGTACAGGATAAGTTTGACAAATACTTACGTGACTGCGTAAAATAATAGAATAATCAAACTCAAATCAACCCTTGGCAGTGCAAGGATAATAACGTTCATATAGATCTTTCTCCCTCCAGTTAATTCTGCATCAAACTCATGAAGTACCTACTATAAACCCGAGCTCCACTCTGCCCTGCGATTCTGTAACTCACTTTTCGAACTCACACAGCGGTTTTCGCATCGGCGGTCGCGCTCAAATCAGTCGTGAAGCAGTGATTTTATGATTTGGCATTCTGATAAACAATTAACTACAAGCTCCCACCTTTCCACCTTTTTTATTTATATCAAAAAAATCACAGAAAAACCTAAAGAGTTATCATTCCAGAAAACCGAACAGTCTCTGCATAGCAAAATGTTCCATGTTGGTATGTACTAAAAAGGTAGGCTAAGTAAAACCACACTCAGGAGAAACGAAGTTCGCGGGGGTAGCTTTGAATGAATTTAATTTTAGAATTTACACTCACATTCACTTATTTCGCTGGCTCTGCGACGTAAAATGTCTGTCCTGTCTGTCCTATGCCACTTCCCGCCAATTGCAGGCTTTCAGCTGCATCCTCCACTCTACTGATCCAACGGTACCTTGGTCTGCCTACAGGCACTAGGCCGGCTTATGCATCCTTCACTGATCTTGGTCCATGCGCAAAAGTTGCCTCAGAATTTTGTTATTAAAATTTTTGATAAAGAATCTTTGAAAGTGTAATTTTACAATTTAACTTGTGTAACAGGGAAGCACATCTTAAAGACCTAATATCTGTATAATATAAAGGACAATAATACTGTATGTAATTTGACATATATTTTTTATACATTAGATCACAATAGGCCTAAAGCGGATAACGAAAATGTGTAATTACTTCCAAAGTCCAATTATCACTTGGTCACACCGCTTAGCCGTGTGCCAGTTATCTTCGAGCAACCTTCGGTTCGCAACACGGAACTGACCTATGATAACGAAAATCATCGCTGAAACGTGGGTTCTTCAGTATAATTAATAGTTTTAGTTTGAACATGTTCCTTAGCCAGCTTTAATTGGAGGAAAGTACTTGCGCGTGTTCTTTTAGTAGAAAAATACCTGAAAGCTTCTGCGCATCTTACGGGCCAAGTTATTTGCCAGAAAATATGGTCTTTAAGGCACTTTTTATAAATTAATAGAAAATAATTTTCGTAACGTAGTAACCTAGAAGCATCTTCACCACCGTGCCGCTTAGCTTTTGCTCTAATTATATTAGATTAGTTATTTTTTAACTCTTACCGTAGAAATTTAAAAATTTGCGGAATAGTTTTGTCTTTGATTAACATAACTTTTATTCATTTAATAAAACACTATTTTGACCGGATTGAAGTTATGTATTGTTATAAATTTACAACTATTTAACGTGCGTGGTCACGGTGACCACGCATGCTGTAAAGCACGCGAAACGTCGGATAAATTTAAAATTATTTTAAATAGTTGTAAATTTATAACAATACATAACTTCAATCCGGTCAAAATAGTGTTTTATTAATTGCGGAATAGTTTGTGAATCTTACGTCAGTATCAGGACGTATTGCGTTTGGTACGACCTAAAACAACATTATTGTAATGGAAATGGAATTCGGATGATACGCAGGTAGGTACATATTAATCTAATGATATTAATCTCCAAACCACTGCTACAGAATATGTTAGACTCAATAAACAAGCAATAAAATGCGATTCTCAATAAGATATAGGGTACGCCATTCACTACATTTTTCTGTAATCATCGTAATCTAAACATATCGTTGATAATGATAAGTACTAATATAAAGCAATGCGACAAAATGCATTGGTATATAATTTTTTCTTTTTGATTTTGGTTACAGTAATTTATACTCGGCGGAATTCCCTTATTTCGATTGATTATAACGTGCTATACGTATAAACCAACTAAATAGATCATATTCAATGTTTAGTAATATCCTTACAATTTTGAATACTAAACTTCTTAATGTTGTAAGATACGGAGAATATGGACCTGAAAAATTTTTTAATTACGATGTTATACGGCAGTGGTTACTACAATTACAATAGCTATTTGAGTGTTATAATGCGTTTAATGATCCCTTATACAAAGGCAATATACTCGTAAATATTGAGATGAGAGTGTACGCCACACGTAACATGCATACATTATTGAAAAAAACATTCATTTCTTGTCTAGCTAAATTGATTTCTACGGAGAGGTGATATAGACTATACAAATGGTAAGCAATTGATGTATTTCCCAATATCAACAATCGTTATATTTAAAATGCCATTGATTAAATAATACGTCGCTAGAACCCTAATTAAATTTAAAACACGATGTTTGATATCTTTGTCAGTGCAACGACTTTTTAGTATGGGAATCACGAACGAGTCATGCAATAGCCATGCAGCGTGCGGAAAGCTACATATCCGCTTTATAATAGGGGCAGCTGATATGTAACCGTGTTATTTTGCGAATTATTTAGTATACTACATATTCATCTAGTAGTGATTTTGTAAAATTTGACACGGGTTAAAATAGCTTTTTTTATAGAACATTAAAATGGCAGGAGCCCACTTGATGTTAATATATACCGCCACCCATGGACACCTAATGTCAGAGGGCTCGCGAGTGCGTTGCTGGCCTTTTAAGAATTGGTACGCTCTCTTTGGTTTGGTTAGGAAATACTTCAATGGGCAGCTGGTTCCACATATGGTGGTGGCGCCGTAAAAAGTGCCTGAAACGCTCAGTTGTGGAACGACAGACGTTGTCGAGGCAGAATACGAAATTCTACTAATACATCTTTAGTTTAATAGCACTATTTATGCGTGGTTCCCCAGAAACATTGCATCTGAGACTATTCTAGTTCATTGCAGTTTCTTTTTTTTTTTAATGTCTCTGGCACGATTTGTGCATTAGCCAGCGTCAAGTATAGGCTTTTTTATAATTCGTGCTTGTCTTTAGAAATTCGTCCGTGTCCTCCATGTACGGTTTAAGCACTCGCCCGGTACCGCACAACCCTCCCAAAGGCCGAGAACAAATTTAAATTAAATTAAAACTTAGCCCTCGAACCGGGAATCGAACCCGGTACCCCTCACCTAGCTGCCACTTAATAAGACCGCTAGGCTATGAGGCCCCTTTCATTGCAGTTTCTAAATTTACAAGGGTCGCAATATTCATAATTTTACAAAAAGGTTTAGGTTTTATATTTTCTTGTTTGGTTTTTGTAAGTTTTCTATTGTTTCTGTTTTATATTAGTATCAAGTTGCTGTGTAAGAAAATAAATGTATGCCTATCTTTCGATGTATTGTATTCGGAATGTCAGCTATCGGCGGGTGTAGGTTAAGAGATTTCAAAGCATTGACGCATTACTAACCTGCCTTAGTACCTAATAGTACAATAATGTAAACAAGGTTATAAATAGTTATGTGACTGGGGCAGCTAGAACTATACTAATGATTAATAAAAAGTGATAATGAGTATGACGCAATTATCTTTTATTAAATGTTATTTTATTTTCCGACCTAGTCACCTTTCAAGGCATTTACGGTTAAAACAAAAGATTTTTCTGTTGTATTAAAAAATGTTGTCTTGGCGAAACAAAAAAACCTTAGTGAGTTTGCCACGCCGTTACTTGCGTATTATGTGTAGAATTGTTTTTTTTATTATTATATCTAATTCTGGGCCTCATAGTATTTTTCCAAGGAGAATGTATCGCATTATCAATATTTATTTAACACCCCTCGTAGATATACACCTCCTATTTATGGTTTTATGAAAGCGGGTATCTAATAATAACTGGACTTTGAATTGTTTATGTACGTACAAGTATCACATATTTAATCACACGTAACATTATAATAAATAAATAAGTTTCAATAGAATCACAACTATTATTAATTTTGATTTATATCGACGGCGATACCGACCCAAAGCTTTAGTATGTAGTTTCGATGTCTCAGTATCCGTAGCGCTGATGTCGCCGTCTTGGGATCCTGCGAAACAAAATCTCATTACTGAGCTATTGGAAGTTACAGAGTAAGGGCCCAGGTTATAAGCAAGCTATACAAGCTATAGGTCGCTAAGGCGCCCGGGCAGATCTCGTACACGTTAACGGGCTACAGTACCTACTCAATGAAATGAATTATTCTAATTATTATAATAATATTAATAGTACTGATTATTTTATTTATATTTTTATTATTATTAATCTGTTAAATTGGTCTATGTTTTCTGTGTTTTTGCGATAGCACTAAGAATAGGTGCAAATCAATACAATAGCCTTGGAGTTT